CTCCCTTACTGTACACGTACCCTGTACTGGCCTACGCCCTTTAAGCCCTGAATTAGCGTGAATTGACGGAGCTTAAAGGGTTGAACCCTTCTGTACGAAGGTACCTAAGGTAACAACTTACTTCCGGAAATAGAATTCCGGAAGTATTTATTTCCGGAAGTACGGAAGAAAGTACATGTAGGTGTACGTGTACAGTACAACGTTACTGTACTTCGGAAGTAGTGGTACGAAAGTACGAAAGTACGAAAGTACTTTCGAAAGTACTTTGTACGTTGTACTTTCGTACTTTCGAAAGTACGAAAGTACTTTCGTACGAAAGTACGAAAGTACTAACGTAATTCTGTACGTGTACAGCTGTACACGTACACTACCAGTACACAACGATACGAACAGTACACGTACAGGTACACGTGTAGATCAGATAGGTTACTAACCTCGGGGCCGGTCAGCTCGCGAGCACGCTCGGCGAGTGTCTCCACGAGCTCGGCGTCGCCGCAGCCCGCGACGGCGCTCGCCTCGGCGTCGATCGCGTCCGCGTCCTCGCCGTCCCCCGCGCGCGTTAGCGCACGGCCCTCGAGCGCCTCGATGAGGTCGTTCGTCGGCGCGGTGCGCGCGCACGTGCGCGCTCGATACGCGCGACGGCGCGACGGCGTCGTCGTCCTCCTCCTCCTCGCTGCTTCGTCCTCGCGCGCGGTCTTCGCGCGGACGCGGCCGCGGCCGCGCGCGGCCGCGCGTCGCGGCGGCGCGAGGACGCGCGGAAGCGGCGCGAGTACGAAGCACGGCATCGCGGCGGTGGGAGTACGTCGCGGCGCGTTTTGCGCGCGCGGCGGGGGACGTCGCGGCCGAGTCGTTGTTCTATTTTGTCGCGTCCGAGCTACTTTCGTACTTTCGTACTTTCGTACGAAAGTACTTTCGAAAGTACTTTCGTACGAAAGTACGTTGTACTTTCGAAAGTACCTTCGTACGAAAGTACAATCGAAAGTACTTTCGTACTTTCGTACTTTCGTACGAAGGTACGAAAGTACTTTCGAGAATAGTGCCTTCGTACGAAAGTACAACATATTTTCGTACGAATAAGTAGCGAAAGTACGGAAGTACAACTACTCAAAGTACGAAAGTACTGTACGTGTACAGCTGTACAACGTACACGTACACGTACTTTCGTACGAAGATAAAGTATTATCTACAGTACAGTACACGTACAGTATGCTACGAAGGTACTTTCGTACGGAAGTACAACTACACGTACGTTGTACAACGTTGTAGTTGTACAGTTGTACTTTCGTACTTTCGTACTTTCGTACGAAAGTACTTTCGTACGAAAGTACAACTACGAAAGTACGAAAGTACGAAAGTACTTTGAAAGTACAACTACACGTACAACGTTACACGTACAATAAGTTGCAACTATCTTCGAAAGTACAAATCGAAAGTAGGGCTACTGTACGTTGTACACGTACACAGTCTACCTTCGAAGGTACGGAAGTACGGAAGTACTTTCGAAAGTACTTTCGTACTTTCGTACTTTCGTACGTTTTAGTTGTAGCCCTACTGTACAGTGTACACCGCTCGTTACTGTAGTTGTACAGTACAAATGTACTTTCGAAAGTACGCGTACACGTACTTTCGTACTTCAACTTTAAACACTATCTATTTCGGCTCGAAATTTGGAATTACGTGTAGCCCTACACGTACAGTATCTATTTCTATTTGCCTGACTGTGTACACGTGCGGGTACTGTACACGTACAGTACACGTACTATACGTGTACAGTACGCTTTTGCAACTTTCGGCAACTTGTCTAGCTAGTTGCACTGTACACATACAGTACAGTACGTGTACAGCTGTACACGTACTGTACACGCAGGTTCCGAAGTCATATGTACGAAACATAAACTGAGATCTGACTCCGATGAAACGCAGATTTGATAGGGCAGCGTTGCGAAAACAAACTTTAAAATGCTTACATACTGTCTAACTGTAGGGCCTACGTGTAATGCACTGTCACGTCATGGACAACCATCGGATCCTCTCCGCTAACGCCTTGCCGGACGCCACAACTGGCGTGCGAACCCTCGCGCGCGGCACTCCGCCGGCGCAATCACCGATCGCGCCTCGTTCGATCCGCGCGGCTGGCGACGGAGGTCGATATTTCATTGGTCAGCTCAAAGGTGTCGCAGTCGAACGTCATCACGTGAAATCGAGGGGCGACGCGTGGGTGAAAACCAGACCATCCCAGTGGAACGACGTTCGACGCGCATGGAGGTCGTATGGGGATCGGTCTCACCTAAATCGAGGAGCGCGCGAAACGGCTTTCGCTCTGCGGGATCCATCTCCGCCGTCGCCGCTCGCGCGTGCTTCTCAACCACGCGCGGCACCGTCCGCTCGCCACTGCGGGTTCGTCACGCCGTCACGCGGCGATAGTTGGTCCGGTCCGTCGGTCAGTCGGACGGAGAAAACGTCGCAGTCACAGCAACCAAAACCAAACCGACCGATACGTTTCACGAGAAAAAAAAACAGTGAATACGGCGGCGATATAAACGCGCGAAATCGCTGACGGGGAAAAACAAACAAACGACGGGACGACTCGCTCCGCGCACCACGCGCCGAGCATGTCCCCGGCGTGCGCGCCAAAGTACTCCGTGGAACACATCCCGGACAACGCTTTCAGACCTCCCAACAGCGTGTCTCTTGTCAAGACGTGCCCGTGCTCGTCTGAGGGCAATTCGTCCACGCATGCGAATGATGTACATTCATCGATCGGTCAATGGTTGAAAGAAGACCGACGCGGTCGAACGTCAAGTGATGAAACCGATGGGACGAGCGAGATGAAACCGGCGGATGGGTGAATGAGAAAAAAATCCTCGAGGAACGAACGATGTTCTGTTCGACGCGCGAGGAGGGAGGTCAGCAGGGTACGGAACGCGCCTAAAAAGCGCGCGAGCTCAGGGAGCACCCGCCGCCGCCGCGCGAGTCGCATGTACTCGTCGTCCTCGTCTGCGAGTCTTCGCAGGTGACCCTCCAGGGAGAATATCAGCTCGAGGTACCGAACAACGCGCGAGGGCTGCATGCGGTCCTTATCCCGGCACGGGCGCGCCGCAGCGGCGACCTTTTCTGCGGTCCCGCCTCCGCTCGCGCTCGGTCGCTCGCGCCGAGCGAAACTCTCCTCCGATGCCTCCGCGAGGACGCGCGCGCAGTGCTCCATCAACTTTGCAGGGGTGGTGGTGGTGTGGTGGTTCGTCGTCAGTCGGCGGCAAGTAAATCGAAATGAAACGGCGCCAGATGAGGTCGACTCTCGAGAGCGAGTGGAGTCGGGTCTGGTGGAGAGAAGAAACTCTCTCTCTCCTCGAGAGACGACGCTCGACGCGACGTCTCTCGCGCGGCGTGGAAGATGAGAGGGAAAGTCCTCGAGGAACTGCGCTCAACCCGCGAACGGGGTCGTGTGGAAGACGGTCTCGTCTCAGCTCGCTCACCTCGTCGAAGTCGCACGTCTGCACGCACTCCACGAACGTCAAGCAACGCTCCAGGACGACCCCGCCAGCGCGTTCAAACTCGCGCAGTTTCTCGCGAACGACGGTCTCGTCGACGCGGTGATTGTACGCTGCGCTTGTCACCGCGTCGTCGAGACTCAGACCGCTCCCCGCGCGACCTCCAACGTCCTCGCGGGTCGACGAACTCGATTCCTCGCCGCCGCCGACGCCGGTGAAGACGCACAACTCGCTCAGCGCGCGGATCACGACGTTGAGCTTACCCTCCTCGAGGACGAACCGCGGCGCGATCGCGTCGTCGCGCTCCCACAGCGTCGCGTCCGGCGCGTGCTTCGACGACGGCGCGCTTCGCATCTCCAAGACGCAGTACTCCGCGACTCGGCTCAGCGCGTTGCACGCGACGAACCACTCGCCCGAGAGCGGCCCGCGAGAGGACGTGCTCGCGAGATCGCGGACATTCCGCCGCAAGTCGCCGCGAACGCGCGCGCGCAGCGTGTCCTCCCTCCTGGCGTCGTCGTCGTCGTCGTCCGAGGACGACGCGTTCGTGAAGCGACGCGTCGTCCGCGACTCGGCGCTGTACATCGAACGTCGAAGCGAGCGCGAGGCGTCGTCGCCGTCGTAGGCGTCGTCGTCGGACGAGGACGAGGACGCCGCCAGCGGCGGCCGCCGCCGCCGCCGCCCTGCCCGTATCGGCGTCGTGTCCGGGCCCTCCGGCTGCCCGGGCGGAGCGTGCGCCATGCTCTGCCGAACGACCGACCGAAGTTTGTCGTACTCGTACGTGTACGTTATCCCTAACGGTGTAACTGTTGTACAGTGACGATACTGTACTGTATTGTACTTTCGTACTTTCGTACGAGAAAGTACTTTCGTACGAAAATACGAAAGTATTCTACAGTACTGTAGTTGTAATATTATTTATTCGTACGAAAGTATTAACTTGTACACGTACACTACGTGTACTGTACACGTACTCACCTGGCAGGAGCTCACGCTTCTTTTCGTCTGACGAGGCTCCAGCCTACCAGCATCTGAGAGGTCAGCATCGTCACAGCGCCCCGCGCGGCGTGATGGGAGCGAGCGCGTCGACCGCAGCCGCGGCCGCGGACGCCGCGCTCTCTTCCCCGCGCGTCCTCGCGCTCCTCGCGCGTCTCGCCGGCGCGGCCGCGATCCCCCTCGCCGACGTCTTCTGGACCGACCTCCTCGAGCTCCGCGCGGTCGACGAGGAAGACGACGACGACGACGGCACGCCGCGCGTCGCGCTCGCGTCCGTCGATCCCGCCGCGCTCGAGGAGACGCTCGGCTCGCGCGTCGCGGACGCGCTTGTCCGCAACTCCGCGCGCAGCGGAAACCTCGCGTCGCTGCTCGTCCACGCGGCGAAGCGCCTCCGCGAGGTCGACGTCGAGGAGACAGAGGAGAAGGGGGATCGGCGTCGGGATCGGGAAAGTAGCCGCGCGACGAGCGACGACCGCGTCGTCGCGGCGACGAACGGCGTCGTCCTCGTCGCGCTCGTCGCGAAGCGGCTCGTGGAAGGACGCGCCGACGACCGAGGTGACGGTGAAGGTGTCGGAGAATGTGTCGGACATGATATCGGACGACGACGACGCGAGCGCCGCCCGGCGTGGAAAGCGTTCTGCGACGCGCGCCCGCGCGAGGGCGGCGCCGACGCGGCGCCCGCGCTCGAGACGTTTCTCCTTGCGGTCGTCGACGCCGCGCGCGAGGTGCGTATTCGTCCGGTCGATACTGTTCATCATAGGGCTACGGCCTCCCTCCCTCGCGTGTTGAACGTCGTTCTTCGAGGCCTTTTCCCGCGCGCGGCGGTTTCTCTTTGCCCGAGGTTTTTCTACGCCTCCCTCACGCTCACGCTCACGCGTTCCGTCCCTCCTCCTCCTCCATCCATGTCTTCCTTCCTCCGTCCCTCCTCCGCGATCGTCTCAGGTCGCTCGACGTCGCGGTGGCGGCGTCGATGACTCGACTTACGCGCTGCATCATCAGATCGCGCGTACGCTTCTCGTGTTCGCGTCGACGCAAGCGCGCCCGCGCGATGGCGGCGCCGGCGGCGGGCACGACGCGTCGGCGTTCTATTCGGATTCCGAATCTGAATTTGAAAACGTAAACGTAAACCATATCGGCGGAGGTGCGTCGTCGTCGGACGATCCGTTCTTAGATGCGCTGACGCGCGCGTGCGACGCGCGCGACGTCGCCACTCCGGACGGGTACGCCGCCGGGGACGTGATGAGAGCTCTGTTGGGGGAGTACTTCGCGCCGCGCCACGCGCCGAAGCGCGTCGGACGCGCTTCTCTCGGGAAAGATATCGTCGGACGTGCCACGTGGCTCAGTCCGTTGTCCGACACCGCAGCATACGCCGCGGCGGCGTTGACGCACCATGCCACTTGTCCAGACGGTCGTGACGGCGCGCAGCGGCGGCCGTTCGGAGACGCGCTCGGGCGGTTCGCCGATGAGGACGCGTATGTCGCGGACGCGGGCCCCAGGTGAGACTGCTCACCGTACGAAGCCCGTTCTCGTGTTGAAAATCAATCCATAAGGACTTTTCCGTAGCATACTCCTCCCCGCACGACCTCCCTCGCGCGTCGAACGATGTCTCATAGGGACAAAGATTCTCTTTGGCAACTTCTTGCCCCCTTTCTTTCAACGTTTCTTTCGTTTGACCGGTAAGATGTTTCGCTGACTGATACATATGGTACCCTCATCGTTCGATCGCTTCACCCGAAGAGCCCAACCCGCGGTGTCGTACGCGTCTGTGCTCGAAGCGTGCTGCGCCCATCTCGACGGTGAGACTGCTCCCCGTACGACCCCGTTCGCGCGTCGTGCGTCGTTTCTCAAGGACTTCTCCCGTCGTCACTCTTCACCCTCACTTTCTTTTCAACGTACGTTTGACCGGTGAACCGTTCGACTGACCGACACGTTCACCCGCCCGCGATCGGTTCACCCAGGCGGGAGCCCGTCGCCTGCCGTGCTGCTGCTCTACGCGCTCCTGCACGGGAACGACGCATTCCGCGCGTACGTCCTCGGTGATGCTGCGCGACTCTCGAAGGTGCTGACGCCGACGCTGCGGGGGTTGTACGACGCATCGAAAAGAGAGTCATACAAGGAAAAAACAGTGTCGGACGGCGACGGCGTCGGCGCCGCGGGGAAAAAATCATCACACGACGTCACGTACGTTCTCCTCGTGATCGTCCTGATTCTTACGCAAGACGACGCGTTCGGCGACGCTTTGTCCAACGCGTTGATACCCGTCGGTCCAAATTGGTACGAAGAGCGGATGCTGAGACGCACCCCGCTCGGTTCTTTACTCGTGCTCGTGCTCGTTCGAACGGTGCATCGTCACCTCGCCGGGTCCGAGCCGTTGCGGTGCGTCCCCAGACGATTGATTTCCGTACACTCCCTCTCGCGTGGTGAACGTCGTTCCTCGAGGCATTTTCCCCCGTGGTGGTTTCTCTTCATCCTGCACTCGGTTTTTCAACGCTCGACCGCCGCGACGCTTCCCGAAATGACCGAGCCTGAACGTCGACTCGTGTCTCTTGTTCCAGAGACGTGTACCTGCACACGAACTGCCTCGCGGCGATGGCGAACGTCGCTCCGCGGTTGAGGGGACTGACCGCGTTCGCGTCGCGGCGGCTAGTGACGCTCTTCGAGACGCTGTCGAGGAAACGTGCGAGGGCGCTCGCGAGGGAACTGGAAAATTCGTCGGATTTAGTGTCGGGAAATGCGTCTAACGCCGCGTTTTCCGACGCGGAGGACGACGAGATCGAACTCTACGCTGACTTCATGAGGATCGTCCTCGAGATCATCAACAGCGTCCTGACGTACGCGTTGCCGGATAACCCCGAGCTCGTGTACGCGCTTCTGCACCGCGCGGAGTTGTTCGACGCGCACACGGAGCACCCTCGATTCGCGGACCTTGTGGGGAACGTCCGTGGCGTCCTGAATCACTTCTCGGACGGGATACACCGCGGAGTCGGAGGCGAATGCGCCAAAGGTGAAGGTGAGATTCCTCCCCATCCTACGCCCTTCCTCGCGCGTCGTTTCTGAAGGCATGTCTCTTCACCCGCGCGTCGTTCCTTTCAACTTTTGACCTCGACGCTGTTCGACTGATCGACGAATTACCCCCTTTCCAATCGATGTGAGCTGTAGGCGAAGGTGAAGGCGCAGCGGCGGGTCAAAACGCGAACGCGGCCGCGAGGGGGGAGGGAATGCCCATGACGACGAAGGAAGTCATGTGCGTCGTCAACACGCTCGCGAAGAAGTTTCGCGCGGACTCGCACGTCCACGTGTTTCAGGAGCTCAGGTTCGCGTACGAGGAAGAGGCGGACCCCGCGGCGTTTTTCTCGCCGTTTTTGTGGCGGCTCGTCGTGGAGGACGTCGGACGCGCGAGGAGCGCGACGAGATGGGGCGAGTCGTTCACGAAAATGGTAGTGGACGGAGCATCGTGATGTGGATGGATGAATCCTCGTACTTTCGTACCTTCGTGTTTTAAACGCGAGCGCCGTACATGTAGTTCTATGAGTTTTAGTTCAAATTAAAAAATACCATATGATGTCGAGAGCGCGTCCACGAGCGTCGCAAACGAGAACCCGCGAGCGACTACGATGCGTTCTACAACGTCACAACATTAGCTTCTGTCTGTGAAAAAAGCTTCCAAAAACGCTTCTGATTATTTGGGAGAAGGGTACCTTCTCCCATCTAGGGGGTTTTCTGGACCTAGGTACCAAAATGTCAGCCTATCAAATGCGTATGGCGCCCCGTATGCAAAATCGAGCCACAGTACCTGACGATGAAATCCGTAGATGAAAACCACTCTAAAACCAGTACACGAACTTCTGTACACGTACATGTAGTTGTACTTTTCAGACTAAATAAGTTGTTACCCTGCCGCGCCGTGCCCCTTCTCCCATCTATCGACGGCGCAGCCGGAGGCGCTGATGATAGTCTATGCACGTGCGTGTACAGCTGTACACGTACTGTAGTGTACACGTACGTCCAGTACACGTACTGTACATAAACAACTACGAAGGTACCTTCGTACTTTCGTACGTTGTATTATCTTCGTACTTTCGTACGAAGGTACGGAAGTACTTTCGAAGTACTTACGAAAGTACGAAAGTACCTATCTGTACCATTAAAAGAGGGCTACATGTACAACGTACTGTACCTTAAGGCAGTACACACAATAGTACGAAAGTACTTCCGTAGTTTCGAAAGTACTTCCGGAAGTACCTTCGTAGGTACTTTCGAAAGTACGAAAGTACCTTCAAGGTACTTCCGTACACGTACCTTTTTTGTGTTATCAAACCTACCACCAAGGTAGGACGACAACGTTGTACTTCCGGAAGTACTTCCGGAAGTACTTCCGGAAGTACGGAAGTACCTTCGTAAGTAGCTTTTGCTCCTCGCGATGGCGGAGAGCGTGGCCTCAAAACTGATGAGCTGTACTCACCTATCAAATTAACCTTGATAGGAAGGCCTACGCCCTTTAAGCCCTGAATTAGCGTTGATGCGACAGAGTTAAGGGTGAAATGAACCCGAAGGGTTCAACCCTTTAAGCTCCGTCAATTCACGCTAATTCAGGGCTTAAAGGGCGTAGTACAGTACACGTGTAAGTTTTAGGGCTAGCCCGGATGGGATAGCTCAATCGTAGGGCTATTTTATCAGATCTACGGAAGTAGTTGTACTTTCGTACTTTCGAAAGTACTTTCGTACTTTCGTACGGAAAGTACTTCCGTACTTCCGTACAACAATAGGTCTACAACATTCTACAACTACGTGTACAGCTGTACACACAGGTCACACACCTGTACAGTACGTGTACCTTCGTACATACGTGTACAGCTGTACTGGAGTACACGTGTATAAAACGATACACTATTATTATAAATCTGATTACAAAAAGACTGAGCTCTAACCCATCCGGGCAAAACATGTGATCTAAATGCGAGCAGACCACACTACGAACAATCCTCTCACGTAGTAAGCAACCCCACGACGGGATTCATGGAACCCATGTGAGCCTCACGAGCGCACGGAGCCGGGGCGATGTGGAAATCGCCAGCAGTGTCGGGCTCCATAAAAAGGATTTGCGTACGTATAGTACACGACTACACGTGTACTGTACAGTGTAGCCCTACACGTACAACTATTTACAGAGCACCGGCTTCGCTTCGTCCGTCGCTGCGCGAATGGCGTGCGTCGCGAGCGCGTCGCCGCGGCCGATCCTTCGACCGCGCGTCGCGGCGACGCGCCCGACGACGCGCCCGCCGACGAAGACGACGACCTTCGCGTCTTCGTCGCCGTCGTCCGCCGCATTCGACGGCGGCGTCTCGGCGCGCCGTCGTCTTCCGCGCGGCGCGTCCACGATCGCCGCCGCGCGCGGTGGCGGCCGCGCCGCCGGCCGCGGCGGCGGCGGCCGAGGCGGCCGCAAGTCCACCGGCGGCGCGGTGAAGCGATATAAGAAGGAGGCGTCGAGGGCGATCGATCTCGAGGAGGAAGCTCTCGCGTTGGAGCTCGAAGCCGACGCCGCGCGCGTGACGTCGCCGTCTTCCTCTTCCTCCAACCCCCCCCGCGCGGCGCGCGGCGCGAAAGAGAAGCGAGGCGGATCCGGCTCGCGCGGCACGAACGTCTTTCCCGCGTCCATGGATCGCCCCACGACCGTCGGCGAGCAGCTCCAGTTCGAGCGCAAGGGCCACTGCGTCTTGCGCGGGGTCCTCTCCCGCGAGGAAGCGGCTGGGATGATAACGGAGCTGATGCACGAGACAAAGGCGCGGACGCTGCAAGCGTACAGACACCGCGTAGCGGTTCTCGTCCCGGGGTACGACGTGAGCTCGATAACGTCTGTAGACGACGCGTTACGCGTCCTTGAGCACGAGACCGACGAGGAGATTGGGTTTCTTCAGACGTTCAACCTGCACCGACCGGACCCGGACGACGTCTCGGGGAGGGAGCCTGCGGCGGCGAAGTTCATCCTGTCGCGGAGACTCGCGCGCGTGGCGTACGAGCTCCTGGACGCGCGCGAGGGGGACAAAGTGCGCCTGTATCAGTCGTGCGTGTTCGCGAAACCCCCCGGGTTCGCGGCGACGCACTGGCATAGCGACGGGAACATGGTCCCGTTGGACACGAACAAGTTCATCACGCTCTGGATGCCGCTCCGCGATCTCGACGAGGACGACGCCGCGCTCGTGTTTGCGTCCGGGTCGCACCGTGATTTCTCCCTCCCGTACTGGCACTCGCTCGAGGGAATGTCTGACCTCAGCGGTCGCGGGTACGAGGTCGAATCCTACGACCCGCTGTGTATAGGCGACGCGACCGCGCACTCGGGTTGGACGCTGCACTGGTCGCCGCCGCAGCCGGAGGACAGAGAGACGCGCTACGCGTTGTCCGTGTGTTACTTCCTCGACGGCGCGCGTCGTCTCGGGATCGGCGGCGCGGAGTCGCTTCGACAGACGCCGCACGGCGAGGACGAGTGGTCGTGGCGGGAGTGGATCGACGACGTCGACGAGGGCAAGGCGGCGCGGCACCCGGCGCTGCCGGTGGTGTACCCTTGATCGATGAGTGAACCTCCGCGCGCTGCGTCGCGCTGGACATGGATCGCCCCAATTTCGAGCGCGCGGCGCGACGCGTATCTCGACGCGTTCACGTCGGGAGGCGCACGGGATCTGGCGCTCCGCGCATTCGCGCGCGCGTCGTCGAGCTCGACGCAGACGGCGAGCGACAAGCGGTGTGGGTATAGTTCATATATGTACATCAAGCGGCGGCTCGCAGCTATAGCGTTAGGCTAATATCAACAATAAATATGATCAGCACGTCGGCGACGACTCCAGGCGGCTTCGACGAAAAAAAGCGATCGACGGAAGAACGCGAATCGTCGTCGATTAATCGTAATGCGGCGGCAGACTGGATTCGCTGAGCCACGTCCGCACGCGCTGCCGCAACCATCGGTCTCCTCCTTCCCCTCGCCGCGGCGACCGCCGCGGCGAATTATCCTCCCAGTTCTGATCGTTGTTCACGGATCGCCCGCGCGCGTGCGTCGGACTCGCGTCGCCGCCAGGACTCCCCCGCCGCCTCCCGCCGCGGACGTCACTTCCGGGCCTCGGCGGCGTCTCCGGCTCTGGCGACGTCTCCAGCGTCTCCGCCGCGCGAAGTTCCATCAGCATCGCCATGTCCGTCTCGTAGTGAATCAGTAGGAATCTCTTCAGGTCTCGCCGCTCCAGCCACGCGTGCAGCGAACACCCGGCGAACACTTTCATCGCAAAGTACCGCAGCGTCAGTTCCCAGTCCGCGAACGCGAGCTCACCGCCCGCTCGAAACTGCCACTTTTTGCTCAACTCCCACAGCGAGTCCAGGCACATGCGAAAGATGAAAAACTTCAGCTGTCGCCTCTGTTCGAATCGCATGCATACCACGGAGGCTGCGAGCGTCAACGGCCGCATGCTGATCCACAGATGGTTCGCGCGATGCACGGCCATGTTCCTCGCGGCACTTCCGACGAAATTCAGCGTCTCGCACGCGATCTCCCAGTGCCTCTCGTAGAACCTTCGATTCGACGCGTGCAGCGCGATCGCGACGAGATTCGTCAAGAACATCAGTGCCGCGAGCGTCCCGAGCGGGAGCCACGACAGAATCCACGGCGCGGAGTTGTGGAAGTTGTGCCAGCCCGTGAATACGCAGAGCAGCGACCCGCCCGCGCAAGAGACGCCGACGTACTGCCCGATGACGTGCGCCCCGCTCGCGGACGCGATGACGTGCTCGCGCCACTGGCGCTTCCGCGCGATGATCTGCCCGGCGGTGGGCGACGACGCGCGGCGAGGGCGCGCGGAGCAAGAGGTCCCCGGCGGCGGCGTCGCGAGGCCCCCGCCGCGCGGCATTAGTCTTTTTCTTCTCTCGTTTAAATTTCGTCGGACGAGTATCGAAAGGTCGTGCCCTTGCGCGATCGATTCGTCGCGGCGGGTTCGCGAGCGCGTCTCGTGGAAGCGCCGCCGCCGGCGGCGCGGGTGTCGTGCTCGATGACGCGAGGGTGCGAGTGCACGCGTCGCTGTCGCGCGGTGGGTTGGGGGGGGGGCTGCGCCCTCTGCGAATCGAACACCCTTCGCACGTGTCCCTCAGCCTGACTAAGTTGTTATCTTATAAAAAAAATTAAGGTCATAGTGGGGTAGGGTAATTCAGGATTTCAGAAAAAAAGTACGAAATTTAGACTGAATACGCATATAGATGGCAAAAACGTACTTTCGTACGCGCCCACGCGCCGTCGCTGCGCGGATCAATTTGAAACTTCGTCATGATGTTGTACATTATGTTGCAAATGCCCGCACAAAGTTTCGCGATTTTAGGAGGCCTGGAAAGCGGGATTCGGACCCCTAAGGATCATTTTTACATCGTGAGCTGTCCTCGCGGTCCGTCGCCCTACACGTACACGTACAGTACACGTACGTGTACTGTATGTACACGTACGTGTACTGTATGTACACGTACGTGTACAGTGTACACGTACAGTACACGTACGAAGGTACATACTGTACACGTACTTGCGACTTCCACATCGCCCCGGCTTCATGCGCTCGTGAGGCTCACACGGGTATCATGAATCCCGTCGTGGGGTTACTTACGACGTGAGAGGATTGTTCGTAGTGTGGTCTGCTCGCATTTAGATCACATGTTTTGCCCGGATGGGTTAGAGCTCAGTCTTTTTGAAATCAGATATACACACGTACACGTACGCAGACCAGAATGCGGTTTTTCGCCCGCAATCATTTTCACTCATCTGTGAAATTCGACCGACAAATCGATCGCTGGAGATTTTCCGATCAAAAATGCTGAAAAGGTATTTTCATCGCAAGAGCCGATCAAAAGCATAACACGGGTGAAAAACCACGTTTTGGTCTGCGTAGCCAGGAAAACAAGGAAAAAACCTGAAAAATTCCCATGAAAATTCCAGAAAAAATCTAAACTGATGATGATGACAGGACGCAGGGAACCTGAGACACGTACGTCTTGTATGAGAAATCGTCTGAAAATCGCGCTCGTACCTCACGTTCATGATTGTTCATCGTCTACGGAACGGATTGCACCGCGCGATCGGTGGCGTGTGGGAATCATTCAGTCACGCCCGGTCCAGGTCGTCTATAAAGATGGCGCGCTCCGCCGCCGTGAGCTCCGCCGGCGCGTCGCCTTCCTTCCCCTCTTCCGGGCGGACGTACCAGTTCCCGTGCTCGTCCACGGGCAGCGACGGGTTGAGCCCAGTCGTAGAGACGTGAACGCAGTAAGTTGTACGATAACACGCGAGGAGGATCCTATGAGCACACAGTCAGCAGTGGCCTTATTTCTAAAGACGAAGCGTAAAAAATACTTCCGTACTTCCGTACCGTAGGCCCTATTCTTACAGTTATAGCCCTACGTGTACGGGTACACGTAATCTTATTGAACGAACCGGTAAAAAAGACGAAGGAGACGCGAACGACGCGAGGTTCGATCGGGAACCGAACCGAACCGCGCTCGATCGGATCGACAGATCGGATCAATCGTGTGGCTCGACCGCGACGACGCGCCCAGTTGCGCCCGGTGCGATGAAACTCGAGTTCGTGCCCTGCCAGAACGCCCCCGGGGTCGTCAAGTCTTGGAACGAAAACCGCTCGTCCCCGGCGTCGCCGATGCAGTCGAAGACGGCGTCCGCGGTGCTAAAGTCCTGTGGTATTCGCCACGTGGATGAATGCATTTGGTGAGTGAGTCAGTGAATGAGTGAATGGAATAAATCAGTTGGCATAGATACGTCGCTTAAATGCATGTCGTGGAAGCACGTGTGGTCGTGGATGAACGCGCGCACGAGGTGGTCCGAGACGCCGCACACGGGGAGGCTCGTCAAGGCGCATACGCACCTCGTTTTCGGTGTAGATGCTCTTCGTGACGCAGACGCGCATTCCTGCAGCTTTTCCCGCCCTGGACCCGATGTGCGTGTCCTCGATGACGACGCATCGCGTCGGGTTCAACCTCATCGTCTCAGCGGCGTGGATGTATATGTCCGGCCACGGTTTTTTGTTCTTCACGACGTCCCCAGCGAACACCGGGATCCTGCGGTTTGAAAGAGTATTTATTTTGAAACCGACGAACGCGAGTGTGCTGAACTTGTTCCACGATCGGACGAATCGAATCGAATCGAATCGAATCGATCGGAATCGCACGGAGGCGTGGAGTGCGTGAAAAGAAAGCACACCTGTCCGCGAACTCGGGAAGCATCGTGTCGACGATGCCTTGCACCGCCTTTTCGTTTGACGTCGAGCACACTGCGACTTTTGCGCCGTTATCGAACGCCTCCTGTGAAACCGAAATCACGTTCTTCATCGGTCAGAGTCGAACACCGCGATCGCGGTCGAAAGTTCGTTCGTCGAGGAGGCGGGCGCGACGGCGGGTGAAAACAAAATCCTCGAGAAACGACGTTCGACGCACGAGGAGTAAAGGCGTGGGTAGTGGGGAGAGCAGTCTGAAAAAAATACCACCCAACCTGAATCAGTCTCTTCACCCCAGGCCGCAGCGGTAGCTTGCCCGCAGTGACGATCTCCAAAAACAGCTCCGTTTTTCTCGCGTGCAACGATTTTATGTACTCTTTTCGCGCGTCGTCGTGGAACGGATACTTCGTCTTGAACGGCTCCGCATTGTCTTTCTCTTGTTCGAAGTAGTGCGTCATTCGTTCTTTTCCTCCGCCGATCTGTTTGTTTCGGTTCGTATCGAATCGAGCGCGTCGGTCAGCGACGGCGCGCACGGCGCGACGCGCGCGGAGGACGGCGACGGTGAACGCGCGGGAGCGGGAAAAGACGTCCTCGAGGAATCGCAGGCGACGCGACGCGCGAACGGGGTCGGTCGCACGGGAAGCAGTCTCACCTGCAGGAGCTCGTGGTACTTCTCCACGCTCCACTCGTGCGGAAGGCCCTCCTCTTCGAACGTCATGTTGAACGTGACGCGATGGCCGTCGCGCTCGGTCTCGCACAGCACGCCGTCGCAGTCGAACAAGATCGCCTCGGGGTAGTCGAAGTTGCGAAGCGCCTCGACGCGAAGCGTTGACGTCCTCCCCCGCGCGCGACGCCGACCGGCGGATCGAGAGGACGCCGACGCGGACGACGAAGATGACGACGATCGCAGCGCGTTCCTCGCGCGCGAGGACGAGAGTCGGCGGACGACGGAGGGGGCCGACGCGGACGCCGTCACGGCGCGGGACATCGCGTCGGGGTGAGGGAAGAGGGGGGGGGGGGCGGAAGCGTCGGACGCGGGGGGGGCGCGGGGTGGTGTGAGAGACCGCGCCTCTGGATACACCAACAACATCAGATACGGAAGTCAGGTAATACTTTCGTACTTTCGTACGAAAGTACTGTATCTATTTCGTACCTGGGTACGATTGTACTTTCGTACTTCCGGAAGTACACAACTACGTTGTACACATACATTCGAAGGTATGTACACATGTACCCTACTGTACGTGAGTCCACGTGTACACGGCGTTTATTAAGTGTGCAAAAAGTATCCTCTGGTGTACACGTACAACTACTGTACGTGTATGGCTACACGTACAGTACGTGTACACGTACGCTTACACTATTTTATTGAACGCGTGCGTTTTTATTCTTTTTATCTGTAATATAAACTGGCGTTAAAAGCCCCATACGTGTACAGCTGTACAGTACACGTACACGTACGTGTATGTGTACAACTGTACACGTTGTACAACTCAGGTACGTGTACGATAAATGATGTACATGTAGCCCTACACGTACACGTGTACTGTGTATCACGTGTACTGTGTATCACGTGTACTGTGTATCACGTGTACTGTACACGTACACGTACAACTACACGTAGTGTAAGATATGAACAATGCCCTACGATCTGTAGTTGTACTTCCTCAACGAAGTACGCAGCTACGCACGTATTCAGTACGGAATACGGAAGTACGGAAAATACCTTCGTACGAAAGTAAAGTACAACGTTATGTATCCGATCGATATTCTATTTCCGTCCGGAAGTACACGTGTACACCTGTACACGTACGTGTACACGTACGTACCTTCATTCGTACCTTCGTTCTTCTTCATAAATAGATTTGTATCAATAGTTACCTTCGAAGGATTGTATGAGTATTGTATGCATACTGTACGTGTACGTGTACATGACTTGTACTTTGAGTACGAAGGTACATGCATAAAACACTCATAAAGCAATATGATACGGAGTACGAAAGTACTTTCGTACGAAGGCAGTCTGTAGAAAGTATTCTATCCTTCGAAGGTGTCAGAAAAAACCTCTGTAGTTGTACATGTACACGTACTTGTACACGTACACGTACATAAACGTGTAGCAGTCGTGTAGCCCTACACGTAAAACAGTTGTACCTGTACGAGTACGCGTGTACACGTACTGTAGTCTATCAAAGATCTTCTGAACGCAACTTGGTCTCTTTGTTGCCCGGTTGAAGCTCAACATCGATCTTCCTGACGACAAACAGCGTTGATATTTCCTCTTGCTATACACTATTCTGGCGAAGCGCTCTATCATGGCTATCGCTTCTGCAGCCGCTCCCGGCGCTTGCCACCGAATCTTCACGCTCCCGAGAAGCTCAGCTGCCGCTTCCAAGTTTCGCCCGGTACACCGCCGCACCTTGACCTTTACGCGCTCCTCACCCGCGAGCATCGAAGCTCGCGGTAAGACCATGTACGACAAGATTTTGGATGATCATATGGTCGATAAGCAAGAAGACGGAACGTGTCTCGTCTACATAGATCGTCACATGGTCCACGAAGTTACCTCTCCTCAGGCATTCGAGGGGCTCCGAAATGCAGGACGAATTGTCCGCCGCCCTGATTGCACCTTGGTTACAGTCGATCACAACGTCCCCACCTCGGATCGCTCTGTGTTCGACACAGTAGAAAATTTCATTAAAGAAACAGATTCCCGTCTGCAGGTGCTGGCACTGGAAGAGAACGTCGAAGAATTCGGCCTGACATACTTTGGACTTGACGATAAGCGTCAGGGTGTGGTGCACATCATCGGCCCAGAGCAAGGGTTCACCCTTCCTGGTAGTACTGTAGTCTGTGGCGACTCACACACCGCTACTCATGGAGCATTTGGCGCGTTGGCGTTCGGTATCGGTACTTCGGAGGTCGAGCATGTCTTGGCCACGCAAACACTTCTGCAAAAGCCTTCCAAGAACATGCGTATCACTGTAGATGGACCGTTCAATCAAGGAGTCACCTCCAAAGATTTTATTTTGCATGTCATCGGCGTCATCGGCACTGCTGGTGGCACTGGCTCAGTAATCGAATTCGCTGGCGACGCGATAAAAAATTTATCGATGGAGGCGCGCATGTCAATTTGCAACATGGCTATAGAAGCTGGTGCTCGCGCAGGCCTTATCGCTCCTGATGATGTGACTTTCGAGTACTTGAAGGGTCGCCCGATGGCTCCTCGTGGTGAGACATGGGATAAAGCTATCAGCTATTGGAAAACGATTGCCTCAGATAGCGACGCTGTGTATGACTCTGAAATAGTTGTCAAGGGCGCGGACGTGGAACCAACTGTGACTTGGGGGACTTCTCCGCAGGATGTTGTGCCCATATCTGGTGTCGTTCCAGACCCTGCTGAATCATCAGATCCTCAGCGCAAGGCAGCTATGGAGCGTGCTCTTACTTACATGGGTCTAATCCCAGGGACAAAGATGGAGGAGATAGTGATAGACAAGGTATTCATAGGCTCCTGTACGAATGGCCGAATCGAGGACCTCCGTGCTGTTGCTAGGATAGCTCGTGGCAGGAAGGTTGCGGACAGCGTCTACGCTATGGTAGTTCCCGGGTCAGGAATCGTTAAAGAACAGGCCGAGGCCGAGGGCCTGCACACCATTCTCATCGAAGCTGGTTTTGACTGGCGCGAGCCTGGTTGCTCCATGTGTTTGGCGATGAACCCGGATAAGCTTCTTCCCCAGGAGCGCTGTGCTTCCACATCTAATCGCAACTTCGAGGGACGACAAGGTAACGGCGGCCGAACCCACCTCGTTTCACCTGCGATGGCGGCCGCAGCAGCTATCACAGGCAAGCTAAGCGACGTGCGCAAGTTTGATATGTGCGCTGAGTTTCCCATCACTGACTCGAGGATATACCTGGGTGATGAAGTTGTCATCGCGCCAGAGGCCAAAAAGGGCAAAGGAGGTCGAGTATTTGATAGTGATGCCGTGCCCAAGTTCGTGACGCTCAAAGGCACGGCCGCTGTTCTTGACCTGCAGAACATTGATACAGACATGATAATACCAAAACAGTTCCTGAAGACGATCAAGCGCACCGGCCTTGGAGTGTCTGCGTTCTACGAGATGCGGTACAACGAAGATGGCAGTGAGCGCGAGGATTTCGTGCTCAACAAAGCTGGATTTCGGAATGCCAAGATTTTAATAGCAGGTGACAACTTTGGATGTGGTTCGTCCCGGGAGCATGCCCCTTGGGCCATAAATGATTTCGGTATACGTTGCATTATATCCACCTCTTTCGCTGACATTTTTTTCAACAACTGCTTCAAGAATGGCATGCTTCCGATCAAGCTACCTGAGCCCCAGATTCGGAAACTCATGGAAAATGCCGGTGCAGGCAGCGAGCTTGAGGTAGACTTGCAAGCCCAGGTCATTCGCTCCCCGGACGGAAGTGAGGTGACATTTGACGTTGACGAATTCCGTAAACACTGTCTTTTGAATGGCCTTGATGATATTGGCCTTACGATGCAGAAAAGTGACAAAATTACTGGTTTTGAGAAGTCCCGCAGCACCCAATACCCTTGGCTTGACGGTGCTGGGTACGACCAGCGTGAACCTGCCTCCACTTTCTGACCGTTCATAGTCTAAGAATTGTTAAGTCTAAAGCTGCCTTGCTGCTAGTTCTGATGTACATCACAAAAACTTGACTCATTTATCGCTATCACATGCGATGATACATATTTAGTCAGTAAGTAAGCAACATCCTATGTTTCCACATCACGGTTTATTGAAGCCAGGGGCATACTGTGGAGAGTTATGCTGGATTTCAAACTGAATCACCTGTCAACACCGTCTTCCATGCTTTCAGTAAAGCTTTAGCAAGCAAACCGACATTAGTACCCGAACCCTGCTTCAATACTCTCTTCAACTCCTTACCTACCTGTGTTTGGACTAAAAGCTCTGCCGTGACAGGCGTATCTTTGAGCACATTCAGGGCATCCATAGCGCGAGAGGCAGTATTTTCGAGACCAGCTGAAACTGCCGCTCGGACCAAACGTGTCAGCTCCTCTGCGGGGCATACACTTGTGCATTTAGCCTGTGACAGTTCACCAGTGCCGGCAAGAGCTGCTGTTCCAACCGAAGCACGTGCGAAGTCAATGTTAAAGCAGCCTGGATTCTGCGCAGCAGGATCGTTATCACCAGCTTTCACTGCAGCCACGAGGTCGCATACGCGAGAAATATAGTCTTTGACCTTGAACTTTTTCTCGCAACCACCGTATGACATATATCTTATCTTGCCAAATATTGGCCGTTCTCTCCAGCCTTGATCATGTACCCCGACAATGGACCACATGCAACCAACATACCCAGAAGGGTCTCTCCCATCCAGCTGGTATTTGTCGTTAAGAAATATGGCAAATTCAAGAGCCTGTTCTGGGCTCTCGGTCCACTCCAAAATTTTCTTTGCCCAGTACATTCGCATGAAGCCATGCATTTTTCCTCCGTGCACCATCTCTAACTGTGCTGCATTCCACAGGTCGTCGTGTGTCTGGCCATGCTCAAATTGATCTAGAGTGTACACATATGGGCGCTTGTCAAAAGCGTGCAGCTTTAAGGTGTCCGTTGCCCACTCATATTTTTGACCTTCGATGCTATCATATTTTGGATTGTACCAGCAGAAATTGTCAGCAAGCTCGCGACGGACAACGAGCTCTTCAAAGAATACTGCAACGGCCTGAGAGGCTGTTTTAGAGTATCTCTTTGCTTCAAGCGCGCAACGTTGACTTGATATCTGCCCAAAATGGAGGTAAGGCGACAGCCCAGACAAAGCCTGTGGTTTTGATGGGTCGTTACGCAGCCCATAAAGCTTGAGGCGCCTGTTAAGAAAGTGTTCAAGGGTAAGACGTGCCGCTTGTTCTCCAGGAAGCGCCCACTTTACCTCTGGAACCGCAGCACCTGCCTCAACAGCACGTGAAATGATTTGTTCCCAATCGACCTTACCTATTTTGAGCACAGCGTCATGAGCATCACTACATAAAGCACCGACAGTTGGAAGCTCTGGGAAGTCTTCGAGAAACTCAGGGTAGAGTTTCTCTAGTTTACCACGGAGAGTACGCGCGCCAACCTCGAGCTTTGGGCTGGCTTCCCATACAGGCACGACATTATGCGCATCGACTTCGTGCACCGGGCATTGTGACTTGTGGGCGACGACTTTACGCCACTCGCGACCAATTCGCAGAGGAGACTGGTCGGTGACAAGCAGAGCAGCACCGCACCTCTTGGCGAACTCGGAAACAGTAACGGTGGGATCACCCTCGAGTAAGATGAATTCGATTCCTTTCGTTTTGAGGGTCGTCTCCATTTCGCGCAGACCACGGAGCATAAAACCAAACTGACGAGCTCCAGCTCCGAGAAAACTTGTCACCAGGTTGAAGACGACGACAACACCGCCTCCGATACTTGCCGCACTCTCGCAAGCATGGATCAAAGCCCAGTTGTCGTTCACTCGCTGATCACGACTGCACCAATACAAAACAGGGCCGCTTTTAATGTCCCCCCCTCTCAGCTCTCGTATCCGCTTCTTGTTTACAAGTGTGGCACGCATCCCGATATGAAAGGATTATCTTTGAACGAGCGCAAGGAGTGAAATGAAGTCTGATGGCGTGTTGACGTGAGATTTTAACACGTTCAGTTGTGAGTACGGAAGTACACTACGTGTATACGTACACGTGTACGTTGTACTTCGAAGGTACTTTCGTACTAATAAGGCTGGTGGGGAGGAAACTCGGACATATTTTTCATCAAATTTGAACCCTGAAACACTGGTCTAAAATCGGCCCATATACATTTTGGATGCCAAAAAATATGTCCAACACCTTCCGGGACCCACATATTTCCGAAATTTGAGGAAAAAAAAAAGCTCCTCAAATTTTTCATCAAATTTTCTATGAAATATTTGCCTCGTTTCCTCCCCAGCGCCAAATTCGCCCACATTCGCGAGATTAATATGGGAAATCGAACGGCCGAATGACGGTTCAAATAGGCACAAATTTGATGAAAAATATGTCCTGGATTTCCTCCCCACCAGCCTAAGTTACCTTCGTACGTACGAAGCTACGAAAGTTGTAGTTTACATTTACAGTAACAACTTACTGTACGTTGTACTGTATTCAGTTTCATTCTAAGTTGTTACAGTACCTTCGTAATAATTAAATCACTTCTGAGTGCGCAAGTCACGATCGACCTAAAGATACTGTAGGGGAAAAGGATCGCAAAAAAAATTATCTGTCTCTTTTTTTCGGTTCTATCCAGCGCATCTCGCCTACTCCGGGTTGATCGGCTTGACCGATCAGCTTTGACCGAAGGTCGGTTTGTCACCCGTCTGACGATTCAGTCGCCCTTTCGTCTACGATCAGAGTTCTGACAGTTTTAGATCTCTCCGCGAGGTCTGCGTGTTCGCGCGGCCACAGCGTCGGGGAATGGCCGTAACAATCCTCGGTATAGAGAGAAAAGTTCTTCGTCACATCGCGGGGCATCGATTTAACAAAAAATATTGTGTCACTTCCCGCAAAGAAAACGACGTCAGCGGCGCTTATGTCAAGGGTGACTCTGCAAAATCTTACTTGGAGGAGGAGAACTTTTTTTCCACCTTAACCCGAAAACGCGATGTTGAAAGTTGCGTCTGGCCCTGTTCGAGCGCTGATTACGTCGTGATCATCATAGCGAGCGGTGTGATATTTTTGAATAGATCGACGCATCGTGATATTTCGAGTAAGTATGTACTTTCGTACAAGTTTTACCTTCGAAGGAGTTTCGAAGGTAAAGTACTTTCGTACCTTCGAAGGATTAGCTAGCAAGGCCAAGTACAACGTTGTAGCTACTACTACGATGGTACGGAAGTACGGAAGTACTTTCGTACTTCCATACTTTCGTACGGAAGTACTTCCGTACTTTCGTAACTCCGGAAATAGTAGAGTATGACAACTATCATAGTTTACGTGACATGTGTGCAACTGTGCATGCATCTCTTGGGCTACACGTACACGTACAACAGTCGTACGAAAGTACAACGTAGCTATACACGTACTGTACGTGTACAGTACAAATAAGCTGTTTTTTATTGTACAGTACTCGTACATGGCGTGGGAAACGCCACGTCCGTTTTTGCAGAAAAACGCTTCCGCGGCAAAAGAGAGAAATTATTTCACCAGAAGCGGCTTTCGCGAGGAGGAATCTCGCGGGAATCTCGCGGGAATGAGAGGACATGCGCATGATCACACCGGCTTCGTGAGTTTCTGCTCGAACTTCATGATTATGTATTGTTCAGAATGACGAACGCTCGCGTGCGTTATTTTTCTTCACGACTTGTCAGAATGCCAACATAAGTTGCTTCGGACGTGGAGATAGTTTTCATTATTTACGAGGTTCCAAAGTTCATGCCGTTCTTTATAGATTATTTTCATAATGATGTTGCAAAGTTCATGCCATTCTATTTTTTATATTCAGGAGCAAAGTTTCCAAAGGTTTTGCTCGGCGCCTGAAAATCTCAGAATTTTGAAAGAGGAACAGCATAGAGAGTTTCGCAGCCTGCAAAAAATGTCTTCGAAGAATTCTGCCATTTTTCTCCGTGACAGTGTTCTCAGGTTAAATATGGACGCACAACGTGACATAGCACCTTTCCTAGAAAGTAAGATTCTGCGCTCCATCTTGAAAACATTTACAAATGAAAGCGACGTTGACTTCGGTGTTTGGGTGCAAAATGAAAACATCATTGATATGTTGACCCGAGCTAAAAAGGTGAAAGTCTGTTCGTATTTTTCGCACAATGAACTTGATAGCGATGTAGTGAGAGGACATGATGTTGCAGATGTTTGATGAGAACAGTATTTCTGAAGACGAGGCGGAAAGAATCGTTTTAGAAACATTAAAACATGCTCCGAAAAGCACTCACTCGACAACAACACTTGAGAGTAGCATGAAGCTGGAGCCAAGCTGCCTTGTACATGCACTAAACGAACATATTCAAGTAAGGATTCAGGGAAATAGGCTTTATGGTAAAATTATATCAACTTCACTTGTTAGATCACTTGTTAAATCATGTGCGCTTGAAACTGAGCATGATCTGCTTTTTATAGATGAAAAAAAGTTTGCACTTGCCCGTCTTAAATATATTGAGGCATTGTCAATTGTATCTGGTTTGGCTGGGTCTGCGATAGCTGACCAGGACGAGATAAACAAACACCATGGATTTTGTCTGATGAATCTTGGGGCTGCCTGCATGGCAGAAAACGACTTTGGCGAGGCGGTAAGGGCTCTCAGAGCAAGAAGGACGACGACTTCCACTTCCAAGAATCAATGTTCTTATTTTCCTCGCAGGTGGTTCACCTGAATCGAGCTCAGAAGTATACTAAAAATAATGCAAAGCTGTTCATGCGACGTGCACATGCTCACGCGAGTAAGGCGCCAACTTTTTTCTCAGTGCAATTCCCGTTGCAGATCTAATATGTAGGAGCAGTATTTTCTCAAGAAAAATAATTGTTCACCTCTTTTATTTTTCGAAGAACTCTAATAATTGAAAGAGGAAATTTCGAGGATGCATTTACTGACCTAAGTCGTGCACGAAAGCTTCCTGAATGCTCCGCTGAAGTCGAGGAGATGATAAAAAATGTGAACAAAATGAAGCGAATGGTGGGCAATCTTGATTCTGATTTGCTCTTCAAAAATCAACACAACACAAGCTCAGCCGTGTATTTATCTTTTCAAATGAATTATGCCGGTCCCTTTTGACATGCTCTTAAACAAGAAAAAGAAATCGCTGGAAACGCATTCTTCGCATAGTGGCGGTATCATGCACGAAGGATAAGGAGGCGTGAGAATATAGCATCTGCAAGTGAACTTTTGGTGCACAGCAGCAGTCAGGTTTCAGTCAGCCATACAGGTAGACCCATGAATAAGGTTAAAAGTTGACAGCACATACACAGCTCTGAAGAACGTTTCCCTTTGATGTCGCATCTAGACCTATAACTCCCGGCACTCATCCTGATTTCACGAATCGTGATATAAAGGTAAGTCCTCCACGTAATTCGAAAAAAACCAGCAAAAAAAGGTACTCGTGACTAAAAACATGTGCAAAAGTGTACGCGCGAGCACCCGCGCGTGAAACACTACTCCTTCCTCGAATGAGATCGCGACGGATTTATTTTTGCCTCATCGGTGTTCCGGGCTTCAACGCCGAACTTCCTACGCGGGTTATTACGCGTTCATGCTCTCTGCCGCGAGAGGGGTACGCGTTCGTCGCGAATCGCGATTTCGGGCAAGATCTGCGCTTTCTTCGCAACGCGCGCGAAAGTAAAAAAAACCCCTCGTAGCGCAGTGCGCATGCCTTCGTATTGTCATCACGCAAAGTTTCGCGCGCAGGCGTGCATCAGAAGCGGCGGAGTAGTGTTTCACGCGCGGGTGCGCGCGCGTACACTTTTGTGAGTGTTTTTAGTCAAGAATACGTTTTTTGCTGGTTTTTTTCGAATTACGTGGAACTAAGTCAAGTGCGCCTCCCAGGATCTGGAATCCTATGGTGCAGCCCTGCTCAAAATTGCCTCATTAAGATAGATGACTTCGGAAGAGGTTCCAGGTGATTTAATGTGCTGGAAAATGATTCACAGCACCTCCCGCAGTCGCCACGTCCAAGAGAAAAAAAAACTTTTTTTTCCCAGGCGATCAAAACTTTCAACCTTGAAGGCGAAGTTTCACCGCTGACGACTACCTTCGAAGGTAGTTTATAAACCCCTGCGCGCCCGATGAAATCGTTTCGGGTTCAGCCCATATCCCTATGAATTAAAACCTTGGAGTATCCGTACTTCCGTACTTGCGAATTCCGAGAAATATGAGACTGCCCTGACTAGAAAGTCACGTGGCGACGAAAAATGCCCATAGGATGCGATGCTGTGAGACTACGTGTAGGTCGTGTACCCTAGCAGACTTCCGTACGGAAGTACGGAAGTACTTCCGGAAGTACTTTCGTACTTTCGAAAGTACTTCATTCCTAGTCTAGCTAGCTACTAGACTATCTAGCTAGCTAGCTACCTTCGAAGGTACTTTCGTACTTTCGAAAGTACCTTCGAAGGTACAGTACGAAAGTACCTTCGTACTAGCTATGATAGTCTAACTTCAATTCAATTACAGGTACAGTACAGTACGTTGAGTCGTTTGAACCAGAACACTTTCCCTCGCATCACTTGCCAGCTCATGATCTTTTTCAATAACAAAAAAAACTTATTATATGCTCACCACGGCACGCGCCTTGATTCGATGTTTTTAATCTTTCGCTGTCTCTCATAATCTGCTCTCAGCCGGACTTTTCTACTCTCTGTCGCGTTGTGAAAGTACGTTTTCAAGTTTTCTTCTTCAGTAGCCGCTGCTCATGTCCTCTTCTCAACTCAGGAAGCGGTGTAAAGACTTGCTCAAAGGAACTGAAAATACTTTACCTGGATTTTAAGGTAGAATGCGCATATGCGGATTACTTGTCTCATGAATTCCGTATCAATGGTTAGAGCGCGAGTCACAGTAACGTGTTCTCAACATTTTTTCTTTTTCTTTATAGCTGAGACACTGCAACCTCCATGACTTGTTAAAACATACGCGGGAGATTATTGGCGCAGAATCTTTACTGCATGTCATGGTTTCCCTAAGAGCGTTTGCTGCATCCGTAAGTCGACCCGACCTGAAATCCATATCATCTACAGTTTGATCTACACTGTTATGACCAGAGTTCTGTTGCAGGTTTCAGAGCACTCTCGACTTCGTGAGTATATAACTTTACGCTGCTGCCTCGACTCGCAGCAAGTTGAAGCTTGCTATTACCTACTTCATTTACTTTCTTGAAATTGCATTATTTAACGTCTTATTCGTCAGTGACAGGAGATGGTGTCGCAGCGTATGAATGCTGTTTTGTAGACAAACAATCTAAAGTTTTTCCTTTTTTGTTTCAAAAAGCTAATATGGTATTTTTACATTTTTTGCTTGGCTCTCTTTCATCTCACTCTTACTTAATCTGCGAAGGGGAAGGTCATCTGGCGAAGGATGATCGAGTTACGTATTCTTTCACGGGTACTTATTGAACGCGGGGCAGTTGCGTCAACTGAAACTATTCGAATCGACAATTCGGTAAGTCTTTGCATTGTTTTTTACTTTTAGAAAGATTTGTTGACCAAATATTAGGTGTATGATATTTTGGAATGTGCTCTTCAAACCCGATTGAAATGCTTCTTAGAAAACGTTGCCCAATTCGCTGCACGGAGAAGAGACACTTTTGGGACAGCGACATCGTTCAAAGAGAAGATAGTCACCTTCGACCCGAAGCAGAAGATTCGGAGCACGAACATTCAACTCGAGTTAGAAAAAGAAGAACGACTGGAACGTGAACGCCAGGTATAAATTTGTGTTTCTATACACTTTGGAAAGATGCTCATGTTTGTTGTTGCTTTTTCATATTAAATAGGCACTTCTGAGAGTTGGTGAAAGTATTTCAAGCAAGCGTAAACGCGATTTCATAGAGAACAGCACTTTAAAAGAGAGAGTTGCAAAAGTTCAACAGGAAGAAGAAGATCGGATCAGAGCTTCAGTGACAAATCAAGCAGCACGGAGCGCTTTGGGTAATGGTCGATTAGGTTTGGTCGAATGCGCCTTTTCCCCTGATTATTATTATTCCAGGTGAAGCAAAATACTTGAAGTGGTATGATTTGGCGAGTTACACAAGTGGTCAGGATGAAGGGAAACAGACATCGCTGAGTACTAACAAAAAAGACTATGTTCTTCCACTTGGTATTTTTTATCGTGTACCGTTAATCGTACTCGGGGGGCTATTATTTCAGAGAATTTGATCCAGGTCAGAAGCGATGTAAAGTTGAGAAAATTCGACCGAGTGGATCGGCTGCAGACTCTATTATTCTGAGGGTGAGACGTGCAGACCACTTTTGTTTCTTCACCAGTTTAGGTTTTATTATATATTCAGGATTGCAAAGAGGCGTTGGCTGCAGAGTTTTCCGGATTTAAGTAGCATTGCATCATCTACTTTGACTGAACAGGTGCCGTTCTCAGCACAGACACTTGAGGAGATCGAAAAAAAAAAAAAACAGTTTTAAATAACTGTCCCATCAGGGATGGTAGCATTGCGAAGAATGGTGACAATACCTGAGCGTATATAAACTCCATTTTCTTCATCCTCAAGATCATCAATCCCAGATGCATTTGTTATGATGCAGTTCTTTCCTATACGAGCATTCTTGTCAATGATGGCATTGGTGATGGTGCACCCTTCACCTATTCCAACAGGTACCCCGCCCGAAGCAATAACCTTCGCTTTCTGGTCCTCAGATTCGTAAAAGTCGGCCCCGATTATCATAGCCCGCTCTATCTTGCACCCCTTTCCAACTTGTGAACGGAGACCTACGATCGCGTTCTCCACACAGCAGTCAGCAAGAGAGCAACCATGAGATATGATCGCATCTTTTACATGGCACTTCTCGATTTTTGCAGGTGGTAGGAAGCGAGGAGAAGTGTAGATAGGGGCCCTCGCATCATAAAATTCAAACTGGGGAGGATGTTTAGCAAGGGCGAGGTTAGCTTCAAAAAAACTCTTGATCGTGCCAATATCTTCCCAGTAGTCCTTGAAGAGATAAGCTTGCACGTGATACCCGTCAGCTGCTGCTTTCGGAATTATCTCCCCGCCAAAGTCATTATCCTTCGGATACTCTGAGTTGAGAAAGGAAATCAGTGCGGACTTTTTGAAAACATATATTCCCATCGACGCGATGTAAGGAGATGCCTGTGATTCTTCAGGACTTAATCCAAGGACAGTCGTGTCAACTTGCATAGCCAACAGATCATTTCCTTCCGGCTTTTCTGCAAATTCTGTTATGCGACCAGTTTTATCAATCTTCATGAGTCCAAAGTCAGAAGCACGCTCGCCATCCATTGGCAGGCAGCCAATGGTAATATCTGCATTCACTTCCCGGTGACGATCAACGAAAGCCATGTAATCCTGTAGAAAAAAAAAAGATTTTCTCTGCAGAAGGAACTTGTACAAGAAAAACTACTACTCACCATCCGGTAAAGGTGGTCACCAGACAAAATAACAACATCTTGAACATCTTTGTTCTTTACGTCCTCAAACAGCCACGAGTATTGACGGACCGCGTCGGCGGTGCCTTGAAACCATTCTTTTCCACCTAAACCCGGGGTCTGTGTTGCTGCAAGAACCTCAACAAAGCCACTGCCCCCATACATGATGCCGTTTCCAAAGTTGTAGGTCCGAGCAAGGTGACGGTTCAGCGACACGGAATTGAATTGTGTAAGAATGTACATTTTTGAGATTCCCGAGTTCAAACAATTAGACATGGGGACGTCGATAAGGCGATATGCCCCGCCGATCGGCACTGCCGGTTTTGCTCGCGACTTTGTAAGTGGGTACAAGCGCGTTCCTGCTCCACCCCCAAGAATTACTGCTGCCACTGATTTGGAATTGGAAATGACAGTCGAGGTCTGATTTTCGTCGGTCTGAAGAGCTGCAGCGCGCGGGACCGATTTTCGTGCAGTACGAAGCAGAAGACTGTAAAAAAAGGAAAATGAACTGGAAGTTCTTCACGGCATACTGAGAAGAAATTATACTCACCGTCTTGGGTCAAGTCTGGACCCCCTGAAGGAATATCTGCTTCCAAGAAGGCCAGAAGGCGCGGAGCATCTGATGCGGAATCGAAGGTTCATACTCGGTTAGAAATTGCACGAAACCTGGATGCCCAGCACACAATAAAACAAAAGGAAGCGCGTCTGTCTCGGAGAGGAAGATAACGAGCAACGAAAATCTCGAGGTGTCTGGTTTGAAAGCACAAGCAAGATAGATAGGACTTTGGTCGCACCGCACGAGCCGCGCATCTGCATTAACAATCATGCTGCAAACTGCAATCTGATGTCCTCAGCAAATGCGAGAAACCCTTTTTAGATGAGAAGACGTCGAAAACGGGCTCCCGTACTGTCGTGAGGGGCTGTCGACCGAGCGACTGCACAAAGTATTGAAGTAGCCCTAGGTGTACAGCTGTACAGTACACGTACAGTACGTGTACACGCACGTGTACTGTACACGTACGTGTACGGAAGCACTTTCGCACGGAAATATCAGTGAAATATCTATTTCCGGAAATACACTACAGTACAAGTGTACACGCGTGTACAGTACACAACGTTGTAGCCCTACATGCTCCTACGAAAGTACATGTACAGTTGTATACGTAGAACCTTTATTTGCCAAGCAAGGTACCTTCATATTCTAGCTAGATACTCTACCTTCATATTTCTAGATAATGTTGTACACGTACAGTATGCGCCCTCGAAGATAAAGTACGAAAGTACACGACTACACGTGCACTTCGGAATTATACTGTGGGGCATATCTTACAGTACGTGACATCGATAGAATACGAAGGTACGGTAGTACCTTGCTGCCTTCGTACGGACGTACTTCCGGAACGCTATTTAAAAAGATAAAAGAAGAACGTACGTGTACACGTACATACATGCACAATTGCACATGTACTGTACGTGTATGTAGCCCTCTAGCTAGCTAGCTAGCTACCTTCGAAGGTAGGTAGCTAGCTAGCTACCTTCAAGCTAGCTAGCAGCTAGTAGTCAAAAGTTACGCGACCGTACAACGTTGTCCGGAAGTACCGTTGTACACGTACACGAACTGCAGATGTACGTACAGTACTTCCGGAAGTACTTCCGTACGTCTTTTGAATTCTACAACGTAGTACGGAAGTACCACCTTCGTACAGACTGTCACGCTGGACTGATCGAATACAGTGTGTCTAGCTGTCTACTGTCCAGCTAGGGCCTACAACGTTAGTTGTACTAGCTAGGTATTGTTTGCTTTGACGCGCCGGCCGCAGCCGCTCTGACTCTCCTCCCGCGGCGCATCGGATTAATGGATGACCGTGTATTTTAAAAAACATAGGAGTCTCTGAATGTTTGCTAGCTAGTACGTCATCCTTTTGATATCCTTTCCAAAAGGTTATCCTTTTGCTGTCATAGCCACTCGTACGTGTACAGCCGTACGTGTACAGCTGTACATGTAGTTATTCAATACGAAGGTATCATTATTTACTGTAGGCCCTGCGTACGTGTACAGTACGTGTACAGTAGTTGTCGACGTGCTTCCGAAAATAGGGCTACGAGAGTGCTACTGTATCTAGCTAGCTAGCTACTAGCTAGCTAGCTAGGGCAGTGCTAGGGCTACCAATAAGTACAGTACGTGTACACGTACACGTAGCTAGCTAGCTAGCTCTAAATGTACTTCCGGAAATAGAATACTGTACCTAGCTCTAGCTAGTAGACTAGTAGCTAGCTACCAACTACTTTCGTACCTTCGAAGGTACAACGTTGTACTAGCTAGGTAGCTACCTAGTACGAAAGTACCTAGTAGCTAGTAGCTACCTACCTTCGAAGGTACTTTCGTACTTTCGTACTTTCGTAGCTAGCTACTAACCTAAACGCTAAAACGCGCGTAAGTACCTAGCTACCTTCGTAGCTACCTACAGTACAGTTCCTACAGTACGTTGTACGGAAGTACTTCCGGAAGTACTTTCGTACGAAAGTACATTTGTACTTCCGAAATAAATAGACTAGTTGTACAGCTGTACACGTACACACAGTAGCCCTACGTGTACTGTACTTGTACAGTACACTATTTTTATTCTTGAAGATTGCGAAACGTTATCTATTCTGTATGTGCACTACACTACAGTATTTGTACATGTACGTGTACGTGTACGTGTACAGCTGCACACGTACACGTACACGTACATGCACGTGCACGTGAACGACACTAAATCTGTACGTTGTACGAAAGTACTTGCGTGTACAGCTGTACACGTATGATAAACGTTGTGCGAAAGTACGAAGGTACACATCTACACAACTACACATGCGTGCAGGACTCCGTACTGTAAATCTTCCGTACACGACGCGTACTGTACACGTACTTCCGGACGTACACGAACGTTGTACCGAAGGTACTTTCGGAAGTGCGAAAGTACGAAACTACTCTACACGTACAGTACGTGTGCTTATTAGACTAGACTTCGTGTACTGTACCTGTCGACGCACATGTACAGCTTTACAATATCTACATAGTACGAAGGTACATAGCTACATACTGTACAACGTAGTTTTTTATTGCTACTTTCGGAATTACTTCCGGAAGTAGTTGTACTTCCGTATGTACAACGGTACAACGTTGTACTTCCAAAGGTACCTTCGTACAATGTTAATAAATACCTTCGGTAGGTAAGTGTACTGTACAACGTTAGAGCTATACATGTACAGTTGTACACGTGCACCTACTTCCAGTACGTGTACCTTCGACGGTACGGAAGTACTTCCGGAAGTACTTCCGTAGAGTATGCGTACAAAATTCCTAATGTACTGTACTCGTACTGTACGGAAGTACGGAAGTACGAAAGTACAACGTTGTAATTCCTGAAGTACTTCCGCCTTGTACAACTACAACGTACTGTACGTGTACACGTACGTGTACAGTACCTCGACATAGCTGCAGTACGTGTACAGTACACTTCTACACTACGTGTACACCTGTACACCTACAGTACACGCAAAGTGCGCTACTGTTTTATACGCATACTGCAGTGTATCGCAGAGACAGAGAAATACCGAGGACGTCTTTCTCCCTAAGCAGACGTGGAAATACACCTGCTTCCTCAAAGCACGACATCCGGTAAGTCTACGCCTGGATCCTTTCCACGAAGAATGTACGGATTCGACCACGCGTATTCGCCAGTGTCGAAACTCGCGCCGCTTTCCAGGTAACAGCTTTCGTTTGACTTTTTTCTTGCCTAAATTAAATCACCAGGCTAGTTTTCGCGTATTTTGCACCGTCACCCCCTCGACACTTGCGCTCGTAGCACGCGAATCATATAGTGTTCTATGCGATCGCGAAATGGGTTCATATTTGTGTTTATCGCAGGTTATCTTCGAACGTTCGTTGCGCTCGTTTCTATCGGGCTTCCACCGGTAAGATCTCCCTTCGTTCGTCTCTTCCTCACGAGCCCTCCACGTCATCAGCACCGCCAGCCACACTATTGACGGCACTTGTGCTTCATACAAAAACCATCACGGCTATCACTCAGATACACTATTCGATTCCCGCAGCGCATCGACTTGGACCTGACCGGCGCAGTGCGAGAGGGCTACGCGCGCGCCAACCCTCGACGATAACTGCAGCTGCAGTTAGCTTCGATGACATTCCTCGATCTGGTCTAAATGGTAAGGCGCTGATGTTCCCTCCGAAGAAAGATTTTCCGACCCGCGCAGAGGTACTTTCATCCATACCTGAGGATTGCTTTAAGAAAGACACTGGAAAGTCCATGTTCTATGCTGCTATTTCTACTTTGATGACGTTTGGTTGTGGTGTGCTCGGGTACCTGTACATTCCTTTAAGCTTGAACTTTTGGCCAGTATGGCTGGCATACGCTGCTGTCACCGGCACCATTGCCACTGGCTGCTGGGTGGTCGCACACGAATGTGGGCACAATGCATTTTCTGACAATCGTTTCATTCAAGATCTTGTTGGTTACACACTTCATTCTCTTCTCCTGGTTCCGTATTTCAGCTGGCAACGATCTCACGCAGTTCACCACTCTCGAACAAACCATCTAACAGAGGGTGAAACACACGTGCCTTACATTAAGGGTGAGCGTAAGGGTACACTAAATCTGAATCTTCATGACAGCATAGGGGAGGGCCCATTCGCGTTTGTGCAGCTTTTTGCTCATCTCATTTTCGGTTGGCCAGCTTATCTCCTCACTGGGGCGACAGGTGGCTCTGCGCGAGGTATCACGAACCATTTCTTACCCATGATCAACTCTGGTCCCGTCGAGCTATTCCCGGGCAGCTGGAAGAATAAAGTTTGGTGGTCGGATGTAGGCGTTGCCGGTGTATGTGTGGTCCTTGCCTCGTTGCTCTCTCAAGTTGGTCTTTCAACTGTTGCTGCCCTTTACTTCGGTACTTCTTTTCTTCTTTCTTTGTTCCAATATTTTGCATTTTTCACTAGGATTCTTGTGATCCTGAAAATCGAATATCTATTTCCTATCACGAACAAACATTTTTTTCAGGTCCCTATATGTTTGTCAACGTCTGGCTCGTGCTCTACACGTGGCTACAGCATACCGACACAGATGTGCCCCATTTGGCTTCTAGTGAGTGGTCTTATATCAAGGGGGCATTTCTTACAATCGACCGTCCATATGGTGCTCTGTTTGACTTCTTGCATCATCGCATCGGTAGCACGCATGTGGCACACCATGTTGAATGTGCTATCCCTCACTATAACGCACTCAAAGCGACTGACTCGCTTAAGGCTCAATTTCCTAGTTTGTATCTCTACGACTCAACCCCCATAGCTTCTGCTCTTTGGCGTGTAGCATCTAAGTGCGTTGCAGTCGAACAGCGGGACACTGGAAGAGACATATTGTGGACATTTTCTGATAAGAAAAGCCCTCTTCATAGTACTGCTGCCTCAAACAGCATTGCATGAGCTTATCTTTGCGAAGTAGAAACATAGAATCACTTCATGTTGACAACTTTGACAACATATATAAATACTAGATAAAGGCGCAACATGGAAGTAGAGTTCTATAAAAGAAAACCTTCTAACGATTGACCTTCCTGCGCATCACCATACATCCTTCTGGTACCTTCCTGCCTCAGAGAGATGCGCTATGATGCCTTCTGCCTCGTATCCTGCGTATCCCCCTTCCCTTATCAAGATGCTGTGGAGTGCGCGGTTCACATCACGGGCCATGCCCTTCGCATTTCCACAAATGTAAATCGAACCAGCACAGCCTTGATCATCCTTCATGACACTATTTAGCTTGCTGCTAAACTCCATAAGTTTATCCTGCACATACACTTTTCGATTAGAGAACTCGCGACTAAAAGCTACGTGCAATTCACTGATGGTTTCATTGGCCAAAGCATCTTCCATCTCCTCCCGATAGATAAAGTCATGGTGCTCACTTCTGCAGCCAAAGAAAAGATATGCAGGTCCGAGGAGCTTGCCACATCTTCGTAAGGCAGCTCGCTCCTGCAGAAACCCCCTGAATGGAGCGAATCCCGTTCCTGGCCCAATCATCACAACTGGCGTGGATGCATTCCGTGGAAGCTTGAAGTTACTAGGGTGTACAAATAATGGAACGCGGTGTGAGTTTATTACTGCAGGGAGATTTCTTTCACCTTTTTCTGGCAGGTAACGCGCCAAAAAGCTCGAAGCAACGCCTTCATGCAGGCGCCCAGTGGGTCGTTCCTCTCTGACTACAGCGACCGAAGCAGATACAATACCAGGATTATCTAAAGGACTGCATGAGATCGAGTAGAATCGTGGTGCAAGTCGAGCACTGACAAACCCAAAAAATAAACCCAAAGGAGGAACAGCTGAAGGAAAGGCTTCAAGAACCTCTAGCAAGGAGCGTCCAGGATCGACAATGTACGCGTTGTACTCTTGCTTGCCAGCCGCTGATGCCAAATGGTACAGACGGGCCTTCTGAGCAGGATTACTAGAAACGGAGGCAAGTGCTGCAAGGGCAGTCTTGCGTGGGGGAGACAGCAGATCTGCATACTTTGTGAGTGCAGCCTTCAGAGTGCAAGGGGTAGGAAATGGAGTCGAAAGGGAAGCAGGAGCTCCTGATGGAATCGTTAGTGTGAACACGTAGTCAAGTTGATAGTTTAGACAGGAAGCACCTCTTTGCACTACAGGTAAAGAATTTTCCGCAAAGACGCCAAGATGATCGCCATGCTGATAGCATATACCAGTTCCACAAATGTTAAAATCAACATGAACGCAACTACGGTCAGACGCATTCGAATGGAGTTCGAAGGCACGACAGACTTGGGCGGAGTATGGAGCAGTAGAAGAAGTTCTACCCTCAGCTGGATTCTGTGTCAGTGAGGCTTCTAAGTTTTGATGAACAGCTTCTGCATCATCCATCGAGGCAGAGATAACAACATATGAAGTCAAATCGTTTCCGCAGCTATTTGCAGCGCTGATACAATACCTGCCTTCTATTTCGGCCCATAAACACTCCTTCCAGCTCTGAAAGTCGTCCTCGAGAGAACCATCATCGTCACCCAAGTAAATATCCACGAGGCGTGTGGCACCTAATTGCTCAAGAGATTTGTCTAGTAGTTTCGCAGCAGCATTAAAATGTTCATATGAGCTATTTCCAAGCCCAAACACGGAAAACGTCAGCTTTTGAAGATGCTTAGACATCTTTCCCGATCCGGCCAGGTCCCGGAGTTGGTGGACGAATTCCGTCGAAGTGTCAGTCGGCTCTCCATCTCCATAAGTGGACTGAAGAAAGATAGCAAGTGGCTCTTCCTTCGCACAAAATGACTCGTCAGCCAGGTCCGGCGTAACGTTCTCCAAATCAGCCGTGCGCACACAGACAGCTGTTCCGTATCGTTGGTTTAACTCGGCCTCAACTTCACGCGCAAACCTTTCCGATGTGCCTGTTTGCGTGCCGAAAAACACGGCTATCCGGAGCTTCACGTCGTCCTCCTCTACATTCACGTCGTGGGGCTGCGGGGCCAGCGCCTGGGAAACCTTGGTCCGAACCAATTTAGTCGCATTGCTCGTGACCAATGCGAATATCGATGCAAAGAAAAAAACAACTGAAACAAACGCAAACAGCTCAGGCGTCATCAATACACTCCCAGCGAGTATGTAAAGCAGAATGGCTTGTACTTGTACTTAAAGCAAAGGCCAAACTTCGGAGGAAAGTATTTCCGGAAGTACAACGTACAGGGACACGAACAATGAACGTGACTACGTGTACGATACACGACTACAACGTACTTTGTACAACGTTACGCGTATCTATCTATACACGTACACGTATCCCTACGAAAGTCCTACGAACAGTATGTACACAAAACTATCATACACATACAGTAGTAGTGAAGTACTTTCGTACTTTCGTACTTTCGTACTTTCGTACTTTCGTACTTTCGTACTTCCGGAAATAAAAACATAAAATACATCCGGAAATAGATATTTCAACGCGGTACGAAAGTACTTCCGTACGTGTACAGCCTGTACACGTACACGTACACGTGTACAGTACGTGAGAGGATTGTTCGTAGTGTGGTCTGCTCGCATTTAGATCAAATGTTTTGCCCGGATGGGTTAGAGCAAAGTCTTTTTATGATCAGATACACACTTACACACAGTACGTGTACAGTACGTGTACTTCCGTACGAAAGTACTTTCGAAAATAGAATACTTTCGTAAAGTACGAAAGTACTGTACTTTCTAAAAGTACTTTCGTACGAAAGTACTTTCGTACGAAAATACTGTACTTCCTTAGCCCTACACACACAATAGTCTAATATCATAAATACGAGTACACGTGCGGCTTTTGTCACAAAGAAAGCTGTTCTCGCCGAAAGCTTTTGCGCCGCGTGCTTTATTCGCATCGTGCATCGGCATGGATGCTGGACTGACCATACTCAGAGTCGGAGGTATAGACTGTGCAACAGTGAAAGACGAGTATTTCAATTCCATTCGTCGGTTTTGTAACGTCTCGGACTGTTTTCTCGCTGGTAACTTTGATTTCGAGAATCTATCGAGCGGAGGAGGAAAGGGTGGCGACCTTCTCTCGCGTACTTTAGATGGAAAATACATCGTGAAACAACTTAACGGCTGCGACTCGAAATCGCTGCTAGAGAAAGAATTTCTGAAATCGTATGTTGATCTCGTTTCCAGTGTGAGTGAAAGTTTTCTTCAGTCAAATGTTGTGTACAGCTTCAGATCTTTTTTTTAGTTAACTGAACTTGTACACTTTGACAGGGTTCTTCCTTTATTTGCAAAATTGTCGCGGTGTTTCTTCATCCTAAGCTCGGGAACTTTCTGGCTATGATTAATTGCTTGCCAACGCACGTTGAATCGTGGAGTGGAATTTTCGACGTGAAAGGCACAGCTGACGACAAAGTGCTGGTCGAGGATGGAACACGTGTTCCTGAAGTTCACAAGAGGTGCTGGAATTTGAAGTGGATGCTTTCTGAAGCCATCGGATGCGAAAAATGTGTTCCCACTCAGAGGAGAAGATACATCGCAGGGAAAAAGACGGCGTACCGAATCCCTTTATATGTCACTAAAGACCAAAAGGTTGAAATACTTAATTCCCTTGACGAAGCTCTGACACTTTTTGAGCAGTATGGGCTCATGGACTACTCAATGATTATTGGAATATTTCGACCCCCACCATCTACGACAGCAAGCGAGCTGTTACGCTTATCGAGTTTGCCTAATTGCAAAGCATATTTGTCTCAACACTGTGGGGATACGACTGTGATATACTTCGGTTTGATTGACTTTCTGCAGGTATGGCATATGGTTTACCCGTGTTTTTTATATGGGAGTTTCGTGTGCACAGCTTACGATTTTTTTGTATTGCAGGCCTGGACTGGTGCGAAAAAGTGTGCCTCTGTCATGAAAACGTGTTGTGCTCCGGCACCTATATCAACTATTTCACCGAAGAAATATGCACGGCAGTTTCGAAAGTTTTTCCAGTGGAAGTGAGTCGCTCACGGCTTGTCTTGTTTCCGGTCCAGTGTTTCCGTTTTGAACGACAGTTTCACTTTATTCTCCTGATTCTGCAGGTTGCGAGGTGTTGCGCATGACGTGATATCATCGGCTCGGAGCCATGATTCTCTCATCTCCTCCAAGACAGCCACCTGTACATTTTTTGATGAGGTTGATGAACTGAAGGCTACTGTTGGATGGCTGCACGAAAAATTGGCTCGAGTGGAGTCTAGAATCACAGAGTTAGAGAAGTGAGTGCTGTAGACAATTTTCGACGTTTTCAGTGGTTAGGTCAACAAATGAACTTCTATTTCATTTTCTTCCTTCCTGTGATGTTTTTTTTTTTTCTTCGATACCCACTTGAAGCTACATCAAACTTCATAGCACGAAAACACGTGTAAGAACTCACTTGAAGTAACCTTGTTTACGTCCTTGCCAGCCTATCTGGCCAAGTAGCATAGTGGAGAAGAGACCAATATGCCAAGTAATAAGGTAAAGCCAGAACTTGTCATCGATGGCTGGACCCTGAGGGAAGTTGGCCAAATTGTTTCCAATAGAGTCGGCGAAAGCCGCTCCGACAAGGATCGAATCACAATCGAGGTAATAGTGGTGAGTTCAGAGCACTGAACGAAGTAAAAAAAAAATGTTCAAGTGGCAGACGACAAAAAAATAGTCGATGCTCGCCCTGCCTAGAAGTGAAGTGTCACCGTAAGCTTTGATGGCCACCCCGGAAGGAACAGTCCAGCCGAAAAGAGTGAGAAGGTGGACAGTGCTTTCGGCTTTGAGCCAATCGTCATCGAAAGTTTTTGACTCACTGCAATAAGGGAAGGGCACTTCAGTTGTCTCCAGAGTAAACGAAGCAGGCAGAGAAAAGCTGAAACCCGGGGGAAGTCGAATGCGACATGATAAATCGGTCTGTTACGACGAGGAATGAGACGAAGAGGAAAACTTACGCGACCGTCGTCGGAAGAACGGCACGGTAGGTTCTAGTTCGGGCTCCACCACGGGAAAGAAAGCCTTGTCTGGCGAGGATATCTGAAAAAAAACCCGTTAGCGTTACGGAAAGTTGGGGGGCGCTCCGCTGATCTTGGCGAATAAGCTCGATAGAAAGCGGGAAAATCATGCTAAAGACAGGTGACATTTCAAGTCACAGACAAGCGGTTAGCCTCCATGTCCAGTGGAGCACTTGGCAGAGTAGCGGAGCTCTCTCGCAAGAGAGAAAAGATCATCAAGAAACAGCGTCGTGCAAGACAGGATGAAAACGTACTCGAACGCTGTGACGCGATTTCAGATGGCCGGTTCAGGCCGAGTCCGGAAACGCAAATGAGTGCAGCCATTTTTTCTATTTAAGTTATTCGCGAAGAATCGAAGGCAGAGCGGGTGGTAAGTGTGATTGACTTTCCGCGTTTTCAACGAAAATCGAAGATTCGTGCACGTACGTAGCCCTACACGTAGGGCCTACACGTACTGTACGTTTTAGAGAGTCTTTTTATTAAATCAGATACACACTGTACGTGACTCGTACGTGTACGTTCACGAGTGCACATACTGAAATAGACTTCGAGTATCTTACTATTTCCGCACTACAACGTACTGTATGTACGAAGGTACTTTCGTACGAAAGTACGAAAGTACAAGATAAATGTAGGAAGTACGTGAACAAGATTTAATTTAGACTATTTCAGGAAGTACCTTCGTAGGGCGTATGTGTACTTCCAGAAGTAGTACTTTCGTACTTTCGTACTTTCGTACATGACTACGTACATGACGTACAGTACATGTACTATGATATTGGAGACTACAGAGGTACGGTACGACATTACAGTAAAACTGCAGTGTGTAAAACAATTTATTATGAAGGTATTTATAAAGTTGTACTTTCGTACCTGAGAGAAAAGATAAGCAATCTGACGGTGACGTCACCGCGCCCGTGTAACCTGCAAGCGGAGATATTTCATCGGTTTTGTGTTCAGGACGATTTTTCAGGCGAAGAGAGGTTTAAACAGGTTTTCAGACCGAGGAGAGTTTATTTTGAGCGGTTGGTAAACGAGAGCACCGCTTGGAGCAACGCTGAAAAAATATGGAAATTCCGACGGTTATTGGACTCGGACTTGGTTTCGACGGGACTTCCAACTGGATAAACAAGAATATCGTCGATCGACTAATACTCGGCGTCACCGACTTCAGACCAGACGAATATTCGATAGGGCGCAAGTTTCTTGTGCTTTGGAGTTTTCTTACACTCTTCACCTTTCTTCTATATTTTACGCTCTGCCCGCTTGTTTTCACGTTTTTGTACCTGAGGCGAGATTCCAAAGGTGGTAATATTGCCGCTTGGAATCAGAGGGAGGGACGTGATCAAGTACGGAACGAAATCACGCTCAGTGTTTTCTCAATCATCGTCATGGCAGCCCTGACTGCGCCTTTTGAACTTTTTGTTGAAGCTGGATACACCAAAATATACTGGGTGCGCTTCTTCTGTTTACAACACTTGGAGGCAACTTTTAGGACCCTTCTTTTTCCGTTTTCTTTGGTATAATATTGCATTAATCATTGATCTTTACTCCAGGATCTCCCCACCACTGCCTTTGGATGGGTTTATCTTTGTGTTTGTTCTCCTATTCTCTTTGTCACCTTCTCAGACACATGTGTTTACTGGATTCATCGGCTGCTTCATCACCGACTTCTTTACGCGCGTATACATAAATTACACCACAAATACAAGGAAACGACTCCATTTTCTTCATACGCATTCCATCCTATCGATGGCTGGTTGCAAGGTTGTCCATATCATATTTTCGTATTCCTGTTCCCGATGCATCACATAAGTTACTTCGTTGCCCTTGCTTTCGTTGGTCTGTGGACAATCAATATACATGACCGCACTTCGCTGAAGATACCTTTTGTGAACGGTTCTGCACACCACACGATACATCACACTGGTTTCAACTATAACTATGGTCAATATTTTATCTTCTGGGATGTCATAGGTGGTTCTTTTCGTGACCCCTTCCTACAGGCACCTTACAATGGTAAACCACTGGCTTCAGGTGATGTTCCTATCCCTCCTAAGACTAAGTTGATATGAGAGTGAGAACTCGGATGGTTTTCCTTCATTTTAATGAAAAATATAACATAACTCTGTTAGTTAAAAACTTTTGAATTATTTTGATTTACAAACTGTTCTCTTCTCTATGAGGTGGACAACTCGAAAGATAGTGCCCAGCAGTATGAAAACCCACCTGAAAAGGGAGAAAGCAAAACCCTTTGCTTTCTCCCTTTTCGAAGACGTGTTCCCAGAAGGTCACAGGTACTTTTCAATGGTTCCAGTAAGGGTGGATTTCGGCACCGCACCAATAACAGTATCAAGCTTCTGTCCACCCTTGAAGATCATCACAGTAGGGATGCTACGGATGCCATACTCAGTAGCCACGCTCGGACTCTCATCAGTGTTGAGTTTCACCTGGAAAAGCACTGAGACATTAGCGTCACATTATTCAGATTGGAAAGTAAGCAGATTCCTTTCACAAGAAAACTTATGAAAAGTGAACGTGGCGTTAACTTACAGCTTTCAGCTTTCCTGCGTACTCTTCCGCTAGCTGGTCAATTAGAGGTGCGATCATGCGGCAAGGTCCGCACCAGGGCGCCCAAAAGTCCACCAAGACGGGAACTTCACTTTGAAGTACTTCGGATTCGAATGTAGCATCAGTAACCACGGTAGGGACGCCTGGGAAATCCATAAGCGAAGCAAACATAACGCTCACCGTTAACTAGTGCACGCTTATTTGGAGCCCTTGACGGGAAGAGGATTACGGGAGAGGAAAGCGTGCCAAAGCTGACAAGACATACCGGATGTTGTCACTTCCTCTGCGCGCACGGCAACGTATCGGCGCGCAGAGATACCGTAGCGTCCGCATGGACGAGCACTGTTGCTCAGACGTCGGTTGCGAGAACTGTTCCGGAAAGAAGCACTCGCGCTTATCTTGGGAATGTGGATAGAGTTTGAAGTCGTGGAGAACATCGCGGCTTCGAGTTATGTGCAGATTATATATTCAAGTAGAGCAAGTGAAGTGAAGTTGATGGCCGTATAGGGAATGTGAATATGACTCAGCTTCCCAGCTGAACTTCAGGATCTTGTGACCGAGCTGACTGTGGAAAGATGACCGGCGTTCGTAAAGGCCAAACTTTAGGGTTACGTAGTTGTACGGCGTACTCGTACAAATTCTTCAAGATAATATGATACAAGCAACCTACGAAGATAATACCTTCGAAGGTATCTTCGAAGGTACTTTCGTACTTTCGTACGAAGGTACGTACGTGTACTTTCAAAGTACTTTCGTACGAAGGTACGTGTACTTTCAAAGTACTTTCGTACGAAGGTAATATCTATGGAAGTACTCCAGTACAACGTACTTTCGTACGAACGAAGTAATCTATTTCCGGAAGTACTTTCGTACTTCCGTAAACTTATCTTCGAAGGATTGATATGATATGACATACAGTATCATAGTCTACGTTGTACTGTATCTTCGTATACAGTAGATAAGTTTTAAGTATTGTGTTGGGCTAGTGATCTGTTGTTTTACATACGGAGTGCGAAGTTACACGTACAACGTCGTGCGAAAGTACCTCCGGAAGTACTTCCGGAAATAACAGTATGTGTCTACATAGTCTATGATGTCTATCATAGTGTATAAAAACGCTGTCCGGAATGAAGTACTAAGCTACTCACGTACAGAAGTACGGAAGTACTTCCGGAAGTACTTCCGTACGTCCGGAATAGATACTTCCGGAAATAGTACGCGAAAGTACCATTGTTGTAGGACTGTTGTAGGGATAGGGCTACTACACGTACTGTAGCCCATAGATGTTGTAGGGCTATTTTTGAAATCGATGTTGTGATACTGTACATTTGCACTTCCGTACCTTCGAGGGTACGGAAATAACATATCTAGTTATCTACCCTTGTATGTACACGTACTTCTGGTACTTCCGGAAGTACGACGTCGGGCTACGTGTACAACTAGGGCAGAGGGCTAGTGTATGGACTGTACTGTACAGTATCTAGCTAGCTACCTTCGAAGGTAGCTACGGAAGTACGAACGAAGGTACTACCGTACTTCGGAAGTACTTTCGAAAGTACTTTCTACCTTTGAAGCGAAGGTATAGAATACTTCCGTAGCTATTTGCACATTTTGTATCTAGCTAGCTAAGTGGCTAGGGCACTACTGCTAGGGTCATAACAACTCATATCTTCGAAGATAGTGTAGATAGACACTGTACGTGTAAGCTGACATACAAATACAATATGAATAGCATTTACTGTATAAATATTCTATCTTTGTACGGTAATAACTGTGTACACGTACACATACTCCGTAGACGTGTATCTATGTCGTACTTTCGAGAATAATTCCGTACGAAGGTCGGAAGGTACAGTATGCCCGTGCTTCCGGAAATACAGTGTACAACGTTGTACTTCCGGAAGTACCTTCGAATATTTCCGAAGATGCGATGTTGTACTTCCGGAAGTACTTCCGTACAGACAACGTACGAGTAATGAGTGTACGGAAATATTTCCAGAAGTAGAAGTGCCTCCGGAAGTGTCTATTTCCGTACACGTGTACAGTACAGTGAGTTTTATGACGTCTTTAATAATTCCCACACGGAAGTACTTTCGAAAGTACTTCCGTACACGAGTCGTACACGTACGTGTCACGCTACATGTTCAAGACACGACAATTACGAAGGTATTTATTAGCCAATGGGATAGGGCTTCACGTTCACGTGCACTTGGCCCTATCTCTATCATAGTGCGAGACAGTTTACGATTGAACATGGCCACATGCGCACGTGAGCTCACAAGCGAACACTAAACAAGTTCGGTACGAAGATAGATAGAATACTTTCGGAAGTACTTCCGGAAGTACGGAAGTACGAAAGTACGAAGGTACTACCGTAGTCTATCTTCGATGGTACCTTCGTATTATTTATTTCAGGAAGTACAATGTACGAATAGAGAAAGGTCGCAAGGTATTTGTTGTACATGTAGGGCTACAGCAGTGCACCAAGGTGGTAGAAAACTTCCAGAAATGAGAAATGTGAAGTTGATATGTACGGAAGTACCTTCGAAGGTATTTTAATTATGATTTCATATGATAGCTGAAAGAATTAGCTACTGTAGTTATTACACTGTTATTACTATCTATCATAGCTACTTACTACTTTCGAAGGTAGCTATCTGAGCTATCTGGCCATTTCCGAAATGTACTTCCGGAAGTACATACTTTCGAGGTACATTCGAAGATGCTCCGGATGTAGCTATTCTTATACTTTCGTACCTTCGAAGGTAATAAACGTAGTATGGATGGAAATAGATACTTCTGGAAGTAATCTATGTTGTACTGGACGAACTATTCAAAACGTTGTGGAGGGTGTACACGTACAGTACAACGTTTAAATACTCTATGAAGAAAGGATATCATTTTGTTTTTTTAGACTAACAACATATCATAGTTTAGCCCTTGTATTTGCGGTTGCACACGGACGGGTCCGGAAGTAATTCCATGTGACACGCGTATGTGTACATGTTGTACACGTGTAATCAAGAATCACATACACCTGCTTAAAATAACAACTAAAGTAATTTCAATATTTCGGTCGTATTCGTGGCCGCGGCATATGCCCGGAGAGAACGGGCAGCCATTATGAAATATGATTTTGCCTTAGCTTCGTCACCGGATACGCATGCGCTCTTAAGCAACGAGAGATCATCAATAAAAGTGCGAGGGTCTTTCCTAAATGAATTCCCCGTTCCAACAAGCTCTGCTTCCCAGCTGCCTTGTGTGAGGACCTCAGCTGCTAGAGCAAGGTAACCAGAATCGATAAGCGCGCCTGCCTTACTCAACTTAAAGACTGCAAGCTGCAACTTGGAAGAGTCCGCATCCAACTTCAGTTCATTCTTAGTGACATAGTTCTTTTCGAGTACTCGTTCTGCCTGGATCCGCTCTGCACGTCCTGCTTTCGCCTTAGCGAGCAGCCTATAGTGCAAATGGCGAGAAACTTATGAGTCCAGAATCGAGGAGCGGAAGAAAATGGAAAGATCGAGGTGGAATTAAACGAATGGATATGAGGAGCTGAGGAATAAGGAAAATATCTCAATAACTCGTTGAACTCACTGCTCATCGTCATCGTCATTCCCTGGGATAAGTGCCAAAGTAGCTGGTGCGGTGCAAAGCTGAAAAGATGAACAGCCCAAAAATAAAGTTTCGCGACGAAGTAACGTTGGAAACGTCGTCGCGCTCGTGATCACTCGACGCGAGTCTCCAGGGAATGCGCGCGGCCTGTTTTCGCTGGAAACTCTCGAAATACTTCCAATACAAGATATACTGCAGGACACCATGCCCAGCATTTGACTGTACAAACACGAGTAACGGTGTAGCGATTGAACTCTTGAAGTCGAATATGAGTTGAGTGCTCAAAACAAGGCAGGCGACTCTAAAATTTTTGTGGAATAGCGAAACTTCATTCGTTGTTTGTGCGTCGGTTTCACGTTAAGTTGTATACTTACATTTACGTACTGTACAGTACGTGTACACGCACGAAAAGTAGGTCAAATTACTGTAGCCGAACACGTGTATCTCATAAACAATAGCTAAAACATCATGCGGAAGTACGTGTACACGTACAGACGACCTCTCTCCCTTCCATTTTGTTGCCTCGTGCGCGCCATGACCGCGGCGCGGTGCCGCGGCCGGCGCCAATGCCGGCGTTCAGCCCTGCGACGCTGTTTTCTCCGCGAGCTGAAAAAGTATTTATTTATCGAAATCTACACGTACTGTACACGTGTAGCCCTACGTGTACAAATCGAAATCTACACGTACTGTACAAATACCTTCGTAAATAATTACTTTATGGTACGTGTACACGTGTACAGTACAGTACAGTACAACTACACGTGTACCTTTGTTTTCTTTGTCTATTTGCTACCTTCGTAGGACAGATTGATATCTAGCTAAAACATTACACGTACTGTACGTGTACACTGTACATGTGTAGTTGTGTACTGTTTCACATGCAGTTGTACGAAAGTACAACGTAGTCTAGCTAGGGCGATGAAAAAGAACGGAAATAATAATAAACTTACATATCATATTAGAGTACACGTACGTGTACGTTGTAGTGTTATCCATAGATAGAATACTTCCGAATCCGGAAGTATCATATGTTGTACTTCCGGAAGTGTACATACAACAGTTTTAAGGAAGTACAACGTTGTACGGAAGTAAAACGTTGTACAACTAGCTAGGGCCTACAACATACCTGTACAATCTTGTACAAGTTGTTAGTGAAATTCCGGAAATAATAACTTAGTGTACTGGCCTACGCCCTTTAAGCCCTGAATTAGCGTGAATTGACGGAGCTTAAATAAATCCACGAAGAGAAAGCCGTGGGGGCTGTCCTTGGTGGCTTCACAGTACGTGTAATACTTCCGTGCTTTATTATTTATTTGCAATGTAAACGTAGGGCTAAGTGCTCGTTGATACTCTGTGCGAGTTCAAAACTCAGGCTTTAATGTTCCGATCACCACATATTTCTAGTTGTACACGTGTAGGTATAGAATATGTTGAGACTTGGAAGTTCACGTATCTTTGATACTTTAAGTCAACTTAGCTACTAAGGTACGGAAGTACTTCCGGAAGTACTTTCGGTACTTCCGTACGAAGGTACTTTCGTACCTTGGTAGCTAGCTACAACGCTGTATTAAAACTATTAGCCAATCAAGTTGCTAGCTAGCTGCTAGCTAGACTAGCTAGCTAGTAGCTACTAGACTAGCTAGCTAGTAGGGCTACGCCGTCGTTGTGTATTGCTATGCGGTGTACGTGTACATACATGCACATGCTGTACACGAGTAACCCACGTGCACGTACTGAATACGTGTACAGCTGTACACGTACATCCTGTACACGTACACTAGGGCTAAAAATTTGTACGGAAGTACGGACGTACTTCCGGAAGTACACGTACTTCGGATGTAGGGATAGCCTATGTGTACACGTACAGGTACACGTACACGTACAAGTCTGTATCGGAATTCTGTATTCCGCAACAACATTTTTATTATTTTATGAACAATGTGTACACGTACAGTACACGTAGTGTACAGTAAGTTGTTATTAATGTACTGTACGTGTACACGAACAGTATGTGTACAACGTATGTACAATGTAGCTAACTAGCTGGCTAGCTAGCATATGTACCTTCGAAGGTACATATTATGTAGGGATAAAAGGTGTACATACTACAGTACAAGCTATTACGAAAGTACGAAAGTACTTCCGGAAGTACATTGGTTCTACACGTACTGTACACGTAGTGTACTCGTAACCGATAGCAGTCTCGTACGAATGTATTTCCGGAAGTACTGTCGAAGGTATCGACAGTACTTCCGGATGTACTTTCGTAGATAGCTAGCTACCTTCGAAGGAAACTATTATCAAGGTAGTAGCTATCTGTTCTATCTTCGAAGAAGGTAGATAGATACAGTACTACGAAGGTAGATATCATACTTGCGTAAGTTGTACGAAAGTACTTTCGTATTATTTACTGGCTACGAAGCTAGCTCGCTAGCTAGCTAGATAGCTACCTTCGAAGGTAGCTACAACGTTGTAGTACGAAAGTACTTCCGTACTTTCGTACGGAAGTACTTTCGTACTTCCGTACAACGTAGTTCTGGCTACTTCCGTAAACAACATTAGTGTACGTGTACTGTACCCTCGAAGATAATACTTCCGGAGGAACAGTACCTTAGTATCATACAGTACGAAGGAAGATATTCTAGCAATAATCCGGGATATCTACTGTATCGGTGTACAGCTGTACACGTACGATCATATGTGTACAACGCGTTTATTGTACTTTCGTACTTCCGGAGGTGCCTTCGTACACGTGTACAGTAGTTGTACAGTACACTTAAAGATGACGATCTCAAACTCCAATCGATACAGTACGAGCTTTCCTCAACTCATATTCCTGACTTTAGAACGAACGAGCCTTCTCAACGACGCGCCAGTGAATCCCTGGTAAAGATGACCATCGCCGTTTCGTCCATCCCGCGGTCCTCGAATGACAGGTTCGTATCTACCAGGATGTACTTTCTTTCCGAGTTTACCTAGCGTTTTTACCTGAAGAGAGCGGACAAAAATTGTCCCACTCCCCCCAAAAATTGTACCGAAGATAACGTGAACCGACGCTTTTCCACAAATCTCGCAGTCTAAAGTTATCGCGGGCGCGGCGTCGACTTGTATCACGTTCGACTCGCTCTGGTTTGTTTGCCGTTTCTGCTGCTGCCCGACCGAACTTTTTTCCTGGTTCCACTCCACCAAAGCATCTTGACGGAACCATGGCTGGAGACTATGGCTTCGATCCACTCGGTCTGGGTGAGCAACCCCGAAGTACTACTTGTTTTCTTCAGTGTCCTTTCCGCGCCGTGAAACTCGATTTTACTTTTTTCACTGGTCAGCATGCAGACATCTGCTGATTGGCATGGAATGCAACCCGTAACACTTAGTGTTTATCCGTGCCTCTTAGTTTTTCTGACTGCCTTACCTTGGATCACAACAGGAGAGGATAAGGTGGCTCTCCAGTGGTATCAGCAAGCAGAACTCGTTCATGCGCGCTGGGCTATGCTCGGGGTTGCTGGGATGGCTGCTCCAGAACTGGTCGGAAATCCGTTTGTTGATGGTCCTCTGCCAAACTGGGCTGAAGCTCCTTTTTTCGATGGTTATATCGCTGATGCAAATACTCTCTTTGTAGTGCAGATGTTTTTCATGAACTGGGCTGAAGTTCGCCGCTGGCAAGATATGAAGAATCCAGGCTCAGTGCACGCTGACCCTTACGACGAGAACAGGAAGTGTACTGGAAGTGATGTAGGGTACCCAGGCGGTGGTCTATTTAATCCCATGGGCATGGCAAAGAGTGTGGCAGATGAGAAGGCCCTGCGAGCAAAAGAAATCGCAAACGGCAGGCTTGCTATGGTGGCCGCCATGGGATGTTTCATTCAGCACGATGTCACCGGCACAGGTCCTGTTGCTAATCTGAAGGCGCACATTGCAGACCCAGTACATGTGACCATCTTCCAGAACTTTCAGCCCTTCACTCTGTGAAACTTGCACTGCCAGCGCACCAAGTGCATACTTTGCCTTATCGCAAGCTGTCTGAAAACGTGGATGTTTTCCAAGAAAGCGCTGTATTCTCTGAGCCGAATGCTGTACAGCTGGCCGCCACTACGTAGAACTCGTTTACTACAAACTAATTCTATGGTTATCTAGTATTATTCCTCGCGGATGAAGATGAAAATAACTTAAATTTCTTTACCTGGCAAATGGCTTCACTTGGAATCTGGTGGCGCTAGACATCAGATAAGTGCACTCTAAAAATTCGCATGCACCAGTCCAAGTGAGACAGTCCATTTTGCCGCATAACCACTGACTGTGCGTAGTTCGCACCATGCACACTTTCTGATATGGCCGTTTTCCACAAAGTTCTATCACCTAGTTTTCTTTCTCGTTCGACACCTGGAGTCATATGACTGCCTGGTTGCTCACTATTCAACCCACAGCTCGAGTAAAACGAAATTTTGTCGGCCTGACACCAAGCTGTAACACATTCAAACCTTAATTCGTTGAAGGCAACGTAGACTGCTAGCTTCACCAATACTTGTCCAAGGTGGCATCCACGAAACAGTCGTGGAACAAAAACCGAATTCAGAGAGCAGTTCGCAACCGTTTCCCAACTATCATGGGGTTCTTCACGCTTGAACGCACCTTCACGACTCTGTTCATTCCGGTAAATTGAACTTGACGAATAAATTACAACGTAGCCAAGCACGAGCTTTCCCGAGTCCGGGCCATCGAACGGCACGAGTACCAGCGGAACAGAATCTTGTGTAAGCGAAAAATCTTTGCGCCTAATAGAATTGCTTTCCCCGTGTCGAGCAGGCCAAGTTGCCACAAACTCGTCCGCCAAAAGCTGCCTGGTCGATTCTCCGAGGTCCCAAAGACGAACGAGGCCAACGCGAGAGAAGTTTTTTCCCTTTAGGAAAACGGATGGCCCAGCAGGGATTACCATAAAGAATAAAGGGCAACGTACGCTGGAACAAGTTGTTGACTGTACATCGACGGATTCAAGAAACGTCACATTCGCATACGTGACGTGTTCCCTGAAATTTTCAATACAGTGCGTGATTTTGAGTGAGCAGATGTGGGTGTGCCAGCACGCGAAGCCCCTTATTTGACACTCGGGCACTTCTTCCAAGATAAGTTGCAGACTGTAAATATGCTACACAACGTACAGCAATCCAACGTATCTGTTAAACGACTCGGCGCTGCATCCTTCCCGCCCTGGGGTGACTGTTCGATCATAGAATACACAATACACTGTTCTATTTTATCTCCGAAGATAGAAATGCTAGCTTGTACGTGTACAACTACACGTGTACTTTCGTACGAAGGTAATACCTTCGAAGGTAATACTTTCGTACGTACGAAAGTACTTTCGAAAATACTGTAGAATATCTACTTTCGTGCCTTCGAAGGTACAGTACCTTCGTAGCTACCTTCGAAGGTACCTTAAGGTACGAAGGTAGCTAGCTAATATTATGATACTTCCGGAAGTAGTACTGTAGCTACCTACACAGTACACAACTACATACACATACTGTACAGCTACACACCTACCTTCGTACGAAAGTGGATGGAAACAGTAAACATCAATAATATTTATTTCCGTAGGAGATATGCTACTACGGAAGTACTTCCGGAAGTACCTTCGAAGGTACAAGCTAGATATGGGCGGGGCACTGGCGGGGCTTACTGAGGGCCCACGAGGACTACAACTACACGAGACTTGTACGAGACTTGTACGAGATGCATACAGTACACGACTACGCGTACAGCTGTACACGTACAGTTACGTGTAGCCCTCGCCTATTTTATTGGTTTACTTGTACTGTACACGTACGTGTACGGCTGTACGTGTACAGCTGTACACATATGAATAAAGTATACGAAGGTACATTACACGTAGTATCATGAATATAACGTAGATAGAACGTACTTCCAGAAGTGCACGTACGTCTACCATATAAAAATAGGCCCTACCAAGGTACGGAAGTACAGTGAATATTTTAATACCTTCTAGGAACTACTGGCGTACTTCTAGCAGCATCGATCCGCCGACGAACAAAATTAACGAGCGATGAACTGATGATACATCACTCAGAATGGAGTGAACTTTTTGGTAAGCGATACATAGACCAGTGATAGGCGTGACTAACAGAGATGAATGAATTTTGAATGATGCTAGTTCTACGTCTAGTGTGTCTTATGCTCAAGCGATCGGACATGTGCCGCACCCCCTGAGCGGGATAGTGGGCCGGGGGTGGCGCATATCATAGGCCCTAGCAAGATAGGGCAGTGCTAGCTAGGGGCTAGCTCGCCAGTACCTTAGGTACCTTCGTATTTCGTATTTATTTATATATGTACTCGCCGCCGAAGGCGATGTTTTTTTTGAGTACATGTACAACTACACGTACATGTACTGTGAGTTGTTCATGGTGCACTGATTCAGTACAACGTTGTACTTCCGGGGTACTAAAGTACCACATTGTTAATTTAATTTAGGGCTACGTGCGTGTGAGTTTTGTCTTAGACTACCTTTTTTTCGGCAGTATTCAATAAATAAACGAAAGTACTCATTTATTACACTCATAGATAACGTGATGAATGCAGCATACGAATGTACTCGGTAAATCGTCAGGCCCCCGACTAAACTCGCCGGCACAATTTTAACTCAAGTCGACGGTTTAATTTCGCTCGTCCCACAAAAAAGTGTACATTTTTATTTTCTCATAGACTAAGTCGGGATAGCCACCTACGAAAGTACTATTTATTGATACTCTTATGAAGGTAGCCCTAATAAGTTGTTTATACGAAAGTACCACGGAAGAGTTATGGAAGTATATAAGGTATGATATAGACCATCGTCCTGTAACCTATTTATCTAAGGATCAATATCTACAAACTATGATATCTGAATATCAAAGGACTATCAAACCCAGCCCTTATCTTCTGTTTCTACGAGGCTCGCACATAATTTCTCGAGAGAAAATCTAATCGATCATCAAAGATCATCTTTAATGAAATCAGATTCCATCTGTAACGTATTTTTTTGTTCGCGTTCCTCGCCGAAATAATGATGATGAAAATAACCCGTACTGTCCTTCATTTTCTCAAGACTTCACAGAAGTGAAATTTCCAACATCGAACACAGATACGGGTGATTTTGCAAGATATAAATTCCTTTTTCTATCATAGAAATCGTCCACGAAGTCATGACTATCGCTATATTTTCTTGCCGGATCCTCGAAAGACTCGTCATTCTGTAAAAACGGTACCTCTTCTTCTTCTTTCAGCGCAGGAATAGAGGCACCACTGAAACTGTCAGAAAGTGTGCTGATTACAGCACGTGACTTTCCGAAGGCAACAAGAACGGGAGACGTGGCGTCACTCCCCGCAACTTTCTTACACGGTTTTGCATTAACCTGGCGTAAAGAATTTGTTGATGATACCGAGAAGCCAACTGTCACCGTGTGAGCCAGGACCCTGGAAGTCGGGGAAAAAATCAGTCTGCTTGACATTTTTTCTTGCCAAAAGCCCATGGCCTTTGCGGCAGCATTTCCTTTTCTGGCGAGTTCAAGAACGTTCAACCCAAAGTATTGGACGTCGGCCCTGCATAGAAAGAGTTGCATGCAAGGCCTGACCCAACTTGTTGGTTCGGTCTCACACAAATGCGTACGAGCAGGTAAAGGAAATGATAATGTGTGTATTGCACACTCGTCCTTCAATGTGCAGCTTACCAACATTGCCGCTTTTGCCGAATGAACAGGGACTCGGACATGAGCCATAAACGCAGAGTATCGCGCTGGAACCAGTGTTTCAGTGTTCCATAGGGATGCAAGCCATTCTTGCGCCCATACAGTCAGGCCATGGTTGTAACCTAAAATTGCCGAGTCACACAAATACTTCCTGAAGTCAATGGCGTCACATATTGATATTAAAGGAGTGTAGTCCCTCGTACCTGTGTACTGAAATCGTCTTTCAAACTTGGATAACCCATATACAACTTCTTCCTTGAAATTTGTAGTAGGTGAGTTTGAGCACACTGCGCCAATTGCAGAGGGGAAACAGTTGCCCTGTGCTGACTCAGTCACCCAAAGCATGGCGCTTCCCTTTGGAGCATAGAGCCATTTGTGGGCATCCGCCATCATGTAAGTTACTCCACTCGCTTCCAGCGCTTGACAGTCTATTTGAATCTGGCCGAGAACGTGCGCACCATCAAGAAGTACTGGTACTTTTCGCTCTCTACAATGGCGTGCTAGTGCGTGAACAGGAAGCACGACACCAGGGCATGATGCTATGTAGTCAAGGCTGACTAGAGCAACTCGGGAACAATTCTTTTGAACCTCATCTATCATCAAGCCGAGACGAACTTCAAGTGGAAAAAAGTTGTGGGAGGTAAGCAGTGAGGTGTTGTTGGCTAAGTCAACTTTGAGTTCAAGGACAGTTGCTCCAGCACTTGCGGCGTGCTGTGCTATGCAGTTCTTCACCATTCCATATGCAGTACTTAGATGAATGATGGTATCGCCGGGACGTATTCGTACGGCGCGGACAACGGCAGTTGTCGCTGCGGTGCAGTTCTCCACCAGTGCAAGGTCTTCTTTGCGGGCCTTCACATACCTCGCGAGTTTCTTGCGCGTTGACTGCATTTTAGCAGCAGCTCCACCCAACATCCAGTCGTGAGGTGATTTTTCGCATTCGACATGATATGCCCATTGTTTTTCTAGCACCTGTACACAGAAAAGCTCGACGTTAAGTACACTTATCCGCACATAATAAAAGAAACATACGTGCCTGGCGAACTGGCGTTCCGTAAGAAGCACTGAAATTAATCGTATCGTCTCGTACAAAGAAAAGGTCGCGCATACTCTTCGAGCCCAGCAGAGGGCCAGGAATCGCTTCGGGAATCACGTGTAAAGAGTAAACACGCTTCAATGAAGCATTGGTTCCTAGCGCACGAGTATTTCTTGAGTTGCAATTTGGCCGCCACTCTTCACTAGCAACGAGGTCGCCACCGAACTTCCCTGCAAGAAGCTTTCGACGCGCAACAGTGCCTAGCATGCCAAAAAACAATAAATAAGCCGTTGGAAAGGTTTGAATAGCGATCAAGTGCGTAACAGGATGACTATCATGCACATCCGGACAGAGTTAGATGGAAATTGACGCTGCACTTGCAAAGGGAAGCTTTTGAACATAAATATCTTCGGTACTTAGCCCTACGTACGTTGTACGAAGGTACGGCGTAACGTTGTGCGTGTACAGCTGTACGCGTACTGTACACGTGTACAGTACGAAGATAAACGTTGCGTTTGAGGACACAAATACTTTCGAAAGTACAACGTACCCACAACGTGTACAGTACAGCTGTACACGTACACGTACAGTACATGTGTACGTGTACAGGTGTACGAAGGTAGATATTTATTGAAGTACGGAAGTACTACTCTGTACTTTCGTACAGAATTCTGTATTTCCGTACACTACAGAATTCTGTCTATTTCCGTGCGAAGGTCAGTATGAGTATCTTGCTAGCGATCTGCGGAAGTTCTTCCGGAAGTACAACGTCGTACGTGTACGTGTACCTTCAAAGTTTAATACTAGCGGAAGTAAGGAGCAAGGCCTAGCTACGTACGGAAGTACCTTCGTACGAAGGTAGCTGCTAGAGTTCTAGCTAGCTAGACTATCTTCGTAGGGCTGATACCTTCGCAGATACGCGTTACGAATCACGTACTTCCGGAAGTACATGTGTGCGTGTGCACAGCAGTAATCGTACAACTTGTCTAGCTAGTACGGAAGTACTTCCGGAAATACTTCCATAGAATACTTCCGGAAGTAAGAACTTCGTACCTTCGTATTTGAAGTACTTCAGTCAACTTACTACACGTAGTGTTTTATATTGAACTTGAGACGCCGACTGACCAACCCGCGTCACCTCGCATTCGCTCAGTCGAGGTAGCCTAGCTAGCTAGCTACGAAAGTACTTTCGTACTTTCGTACTTGACTAGACTACGTACGTAGCTACGTAGTACGTACCTTCGATGGTTGCAGCTACATGTGCAGTATACTTAGTATGTGGTTCTTGATTTGGGTTGTACTTTCGTACGAAGGTACGAAGATATCTTCGAAGATAGAAGAATGCGAAGGTACATGTTCACGTAGCTAGCTAGATAGGGATTCGTTGTACCTTCGTACGAAGGTACACGGCTACGTGTACACGCACATGTACGTTCGTACTTGCAATGAAATGTAGGGCTACATGTACAATTGTGCATTGAGTACCACCTTTGTACAAAGGTACAAAAGTATATCCGTACTACATGTACGTGTACACGTACTGTAAGCTACCTTCGTACAAAACTTTTGTCTATGAAAGGTACGAAGGTACACGTACAGTACGTGTACAGTAGTACAGTACGTGTACTACACCTTTTAAGCCGTGAATTAGCGTGAATTGACGGAACTTTAAGGGTGGAATCCTTCGGGTTCATTTCACCCTTAACTCTGTCGCATCAACGCAAATTCAGGGCTTAAAAGGCGTAGGTAGCCCTACAGTACCTTTGAAGGTACTTTCGTACTTTCGAAAGTACTTTCGTACTTTCGTAGATATCTACAGTAGATAAGGTTGCACGAATCTCTATGAATACTGCCCCGCAGCATGCTGACTGGGAACATCACGGAACATTGTTTTCTTTTCTTCGATACATAGTCCATCCTATCCTGTCTGCACTCCGAACGTCTATCTTGAGGAGCAAGCCTAGCTACGAAGGTACAGTAAGTCAACTATCTACCTTCGAAGGTAGCTAGCTAGCTAGAAAGATACTTTCGAAGGTACGAAAGTACTTCGGAAGTACGGAAGTACGAAAGTACCTTCGAAGGTACTTTCGAAAGTACGTATCTACATGGCCTTATCTTCGAAGGTAGCCTAGCTAAAGCGATACCTTCGCGGCTGCATCTCCGAAGTTACAACGCTGTACACAATGGCTAAGAAGGTATGGAAATACTTCCGGAAGTACAAGTATCTTCGAATGTACTTCTGGAAGTACAATACTGGTAGCCCTACTTACCTAGCTACCTTCGAAGGTACGAAGGTACGAAGGTACTTCCGGAGGTACCTTCGAAGGTACACGTACTGTACTTCCGGAAGTAACTTGGTGCGTGGCTAGCCGGCTCTACAGTAGCTATTATAGTAGTCTACTAGCTCTAGCTAGCTACGTCTATTGGCTAATCTAGCTAGATAGTCAGCTACGAAAGTACTTCCAAAGTACTTCCGAAGTACTTTCGTACGAGGGTAACGTGAACGCAGAGTACATGAAATACCATCATATCTAGCATAATCTACGGCGCAGTATGTACTTTCGTACTATGTAGACTAGTTTAACAACTACAGTACGTGTACTTCCGTACGAAGGTACGAAGGTATTTATTACGTAAGTACTTCCGTACTTTCGGAAGTACTTCCGTACTTTGAACGTATCTAGCTATTTACTTTCGTACTACAAAGGCACGAAGATATCTAGCTAGGCAGACTACCTTCGTAGCAACTTACCTTCGAAGGTACATTTGCAATACAATAACGTAAAACTTGTCTATCATATCAATTTATCTTGTACGTGTAGTGTACTTGTGCGCAAGTAACGGAAGTACCTTCGTACCTTTGTTCGTACCTTGCTTCGTTCTTGTACACGTGTACAGTGTACATACACGTACTCCCGGAAGTACTTCCGCATGTTATTTACAGGGCCCTACTGTACGTGTACAACGTTGTGTAAATGTAGATTTAATATATAACCAATAATCTATCCCTAGATTTATTGCAGGTCTACAAGACATCTGGAAGTGCGTATAAAGTACGAGAGCACTTCCGTACTACAGTAGGGCTGTTAGTGTAAGTATTACGTTGTACTTTCGTACTTTCGTACTTTTGAAGGTACCTCTCTACTTCCGTACGTGTATACACGTACAGCTGTACACGTATCGGATATTGTACATAAAATAATAATAATATGATAGCTAGACTGTGTACGAAGATCCGTACACGTACGTGTACACGTCGACAAACGGGCACCCGAGTGTGTAAGGCTTTCAACTCCATTTTACACAAAAACTGTAAACAACTTATTTTTGATAACAGTACAATAAAACGGTACTTTCGTACTTTCGAAAGTACAACGTTGTACTATCGTTGTACGCGCACGTGTACGTGTACTGTACACGTAGCTCTAGCTAGGAACGTGTATTCGCAAATCTAGATACGCTATCCAAATCTACACGTGCGCTACAACTAACGCTGTACGTGTACAGTACAAGTACGCGTAACATGGGAAATTGAACTTGGCGCACAAGTACGATGAGTAGACTAGTCTCTTAGTGTACACGTACGTGTACGTGGAGTGTGCACAGCTGCACGCGCAGGGCATTTTAGACATGGATAGTGTACGTGTAGTGTATAGTCTTAGACTAGCTCGGAGATATCGCACGGTTTACATAGCCCGACGAAAACAACTTTCGAAGAATAAAAGCTGGCCAAGCGTGTGCACCGAACAGGAGGTCATCTTCACACGCCAAGATTTATTATCCGATGTCCACGAACGCACTTTCCTCTTCTTTCTCTGGCGTTAGAGTCACCAGTGGAGAGTCGCTGAAAGGTTCGCGCGACCGCACCGTTCTCGTTGTCCAAGCCCGGCGAACCAAGGCGTCCGCCCCGTCCCGCTCCGCTGCTAAGGTGCGATACACATTCCTTTGGGAAAGTGGAATGACTGTCACGACTGGCACATGTCTGATGCCGTTGATAATCCCGCGGGATTCTCGCTGTTCATGAGATGATAGCCAGTCATAATACCGCCAGCCTTTGAAAAAAAAAATGAAATCTCTCCGAGGCAGACTAGACTTACTTGTTTTGTTTATTTTGTTTTGCACGCAGGTGGCTAAGTTCGGCTCTACTGCTCCTCCCGATCTTTATCCCGAATTCGGCGTTTATCCCGGCGGTGGAGAATCGCCAATTATTCCTTTCGACGACGACAAGAACGCTGAACGAGAGATCATTCATGGTCGTTGGGCCATGCTTGGCGTGACTGGAGCTTGGGCAGCAGAAAATGGTACTGGCATTCCGTGGTTTACTGCTGGTACTCTCTGCACACCGGATGATTGCACTGCGGTCGCAGACAAGTTTCCCGGAGCTGTCGCACCCCTTGCTCCTGAGGGCTCAGGGTATCCATCATTTTGGGCCGTACTTTCCATCGAAGTTTTCCTTGTTGGATCAGCTGAGTGCTACCGCACAGGTCTCTTTGAAAACCCTTTTCCTGAGCTCGAGCTGTCTGTCACCCCCGGTGGACGGTTTGACCCCTTGGGCTTTGCTGAGGCTGGTGACCTCGAAGAGCTCAAAGTTAAAGAGCTTAAACATTGCCGGCTCTCCATGTTCGCGTGGCTTGGCTGCATAGCACAAGCACTCGCCACACAGGAAGGACCGATTGCCAACTGGCAGGCACATGTGGCTGACCCTGTCCACGCCAACGTTCTCTCCAATGCGGCATCTGGTTTCGGATTCTATTGAAATATCCAAACTTCTATTTCAGATAGGATAGGATCTAAGAAACGACAGTGTTCACTAAAGAATGAAACAAAAGTGAGTCTCTTAATACAAAACCAGTGTTGCTCCACGTTGACAAAATAAACAATAAATAGGCAGAGTGATATAAAACAATACTGCGTATTCTGTGAACTAGCTTCCTCCCAAAAAGTCTTTCACTTTGCCTGCTGCATTTTGAAAGCCTTCAGCCATTTTTTGAGCTGGCAATCGAGTTTCGTCTTCTTCAGGAATCACAAACACCTTGTCAGCGGTTGGTTTGAACATACTCGAAGGATTACTCTTGTCCAGGACCATGAATCCGAATTCGAGCTCTTTCGCATTCTTAAGCATTGGCATTCGTCGACACATCTCCTCCAGTTGTTCAGTCTCCTTGTAAATAGCTTGACCAATATTAGTGGTCAGCGACTTCACGGCAAGCTCTCTAGAAAGGTCACTATCCAGGCCTTTTACGAGTGTGTTTGCGGTTGAACCACCTGTAACGACATTGAGGGGGTACCACGCTTTGAAACCCTTCTTCGATCTGACATATATGACAAATTGTTCGTTGTCCGGATCGATGGGGGGCAGATACTGTTCCCTGTGGCAAAGCAGTGGAGCAGTGGAGAACAAGATAAAATGTTTTATTGCAAGCACGGAGAAATGCGTGGAAAAAGTCACGAGTCCTTGAAAGTGTGCAACGACCTACATGCTGGGCTGCCCACCCGGACGACTAGACGACCCAGCCCGCCGCCCACCACCTTTGCCCTTCGCCTGGACATTGAGCATATTTCCAGCGTAGCGAGAGGTGGTCGTCACGCGAAAGCGCTTTCGGTCGGCAAGGTTGCGAGCTCCCGTGAAGAACGCTGCTGTCCGACTGAAAGACGCGGCCGATATTTGAGCAAACATCGCGGTTTCTTGAACAACCGGAACGCTGTTGAGTTCAATTAAGTCTCAAGAACTATAAGCACTGCACTGAAACTCGATAAGAGCAAATTTTATGTTTGTTTGAAACGAACTGCGTTCAAGGAACGCGTTGCGGTGTACTAAAAATATTGTACGAAAGTACGAAAGTACGAAAGTACGAAAGTACTTTCGTACTTTGTACTGTACAGTACGTTTACGTTGTACCTTCGTACGGAAGTACACTACACGTGTACAGTAGGGCTATTTTATGAAATACTTTCGTACAAGGGTTGAAGGTTGTTTTTTATGTCCACACTGTCGATAGTTGAGAAGGTAGTCCTCTACGTAATTCGAAAAAATCCACCTAAAAAACGTACTCGTGGAAAAAAACACGTACAAACGTGTACGCGCGAACACCCGCGCGCGAAACCTATCTCCTTCCTCGAATGAGATCTAAACGGATTTTCTTTTGCACCATCGCGTTCCGGGCTTCAACGCCGAACTTTCTACGCCGGGGACTTTGCGTTCATGCTCTCTGTCGCGAGAGGGGTACGCGAACGTCGCGAATCGCGATTTCGGGCAAGATCTGCGATTTCTTCGCGACGCGCGCGAAATTCGAAAAACCCCGGCGTAGCATTGTGCGCATGCCTTAGAACTGTAATCGTGCAAAGTTTCGCGCGCAGACGTGCATCGCGCGCGGAGGAGATAGGTTTCGCGCGTGGGTGTTCGCGCGTACACTTTTGCACGTGTTTTTCGTCACGAGTACGTTTTTTAGGTGGATTTTTTCGAATTACGTAGAGGACTACCTTAAACGTACGTGTACAGCTGTACACGTACAGTACACTTTTTGTTAGTGTACAGCTGTACACGTAAAAATCATATGTAGGTAATAGAATACACGTTTATCTACACGTACGCACGTAACGACGTTACTGCGTACGTATATTTTTTCCGTTCTTGAGTATCAATGAGTGTGTTGTTTTCCTGACTGAGACTAATAAGTTGTTTATATGAGTAAGTAAAAGTATATTTGCGGGTCGAGCGAAATTAGACCGTCGATTTTGAGTTAAAATTGTGCCGGCGAGTTGAGTCCGGGGCCTGAGTATTTACCGAGTATTTCACTGAGTACTCTCTTCACGTACACGTACACGTACCAGCTCACGTAGCCAGCAGGGGATAACTTTTTATGTAAATAAATAATGAGTAAGTAAGTTGTTATGTGTACGTGTACGCACACGTACGTGTACACGTACAGTAAAGTTTACTTAGTTTTTCGAAAGTACTTTCGTATTTATTTTTGCGGGTCGAGCGAAAATACCGTCGATTTTGAGTTAAAACTGCAGTACGTGTACTTCGAAATACTTATTTATTTACTTTTTTTTCCGGCAGTCATGTACGAAGGTATTTACTAATAGCGTCGAAATTTTAGTAGGCCCTAGTTGTACACTACAGTATTATGTATTAAAAAAATACCCCTGTCTACAACTACACGTACGTGTACAGTATTATTATTATAACAACCTAAGTTGTTACCAATGTCTAAAAAATAAAATAAATACGAAGGTAAATATTTAGTCTACAACGTGGTAGTTGTACGTGTACGTGTAGTTGTACACGTACACGTACTGTACACGTACAGTACGTGAAGTTTTTTACTGCCGGGAAAAAAGGTACAGTACGTGTACACGTAGTTGTACACGTGTAGTGTACACGTACGTGTAGCACTCGTGCACACGTAGCCCTGTCCTAAGTTCATGTTTGTAAATATTAAGATATGGAAGTACGAAAGTACAACATACTGTACGTTGTACGTGTACAACTACCTTCGTACACGTGTACACGTAAAAGTTGTTAGCCCTACACGAACACGTACAGTATTATAAACATACAGTAGCTAGCATATTTATACACTATTCTATGTGTACTCAAAAAAAGTCTTCGCCGTCGGCGAGTAAATACGTTGTACTGTACACGTACAGTACGTGTACAACTACAGTAACTAGTACTTTCAAAGTACTTTCGTACGAAAGTATTTCTTCAGTACGTGCACAACGTTGTACGCGTATGTAGCCCTTTTTGCACGTACACGTACACGTACTCGTAATTCATTTACTATTATCCATAGTCGTAAAAGATAAAACCCCTGGCTACGTAGTACGTGTACGTAGCTACGTACGGAAGTACGGTAGTACTTCAGAAGTACTTTCGTACTTTCGAAAGTACGAAAGTACTTTCGAAAGTACAACATAGTGTGTAGCTGTGTACTTCCGGAAGTATTATCCCTGCCTACGGCTACAACGTTGTACGAAGGTACGTGTACAGCTGTACACGTACGTAGAATAACGTCAACTATCCCGGCGATACTTCCGGAGTACACGTACTTTGTACGAAAGTACGAAAGTACTTCCGAAGTACACCGTTAGTTGTACTGTATGTAATTTACGTGTACAGCTTTGAAGTGTACAGTGTACAGCTGTGCACGCTCAACGCGTTATGTGCACCTTCGAAGATACATGTTCATGTCGTACACGTATAAATACACGTACTTCACGCAGTGCACGACACACGATAATTGGTGCGCAGCTGTACTCCTGTACAGCTGCACGTGTACACGTGGTGTACAACTGTAGTACTGTACGACTCGCGTGCTTGTGTAGGATACGCATGCAGTACACGAGTACACGTACACGTTTATTAAGGGTTTCATAAATCCTCGGTTCTGTCTGTACATTGTAGCTAGCATTGTACGCGAAGTAGGCCCTACTATGTACGAAAGTACTTTCGTACGAAGGTAGGCTGCAGGACCTGCAAAGCCCAGAGGTCAAAACGGAGCCTGCCAGACGTCTTGAGGTCGTGTAGTGCAACTGTGCATCAACCACCACCCGGACTCTTCACAGTTGTATCTGCTTGACGCGAAGGCGTCTATCGCAGTCACGATGACGCGCTCGGTCTCGCTTATCTGTGCACGCACCTGTTATGCATCGCCAGTTTCGCAAGCTTCTCTCTCGCGTCGAAACGCTCTTATTCGCCGCCGCAATCAGTGTCGCTTTTCCGTATACGCTTCCAAAGATTCTTCGGGGCCAAAAGTAGCCATCGCTGGTGTTACGGGTGCTGTCGGACAAGAATTTCTTCGGGTACGTACCAGACTAGCGTTAATTCTTATAAGATAGTTATTTTCGCAATTCTCCAAGTATACTCGTGTAACAGCATTTCTTCTTCAGGTGCTTACTGAGCGAAACTTTCCATACAGTCGCATGAAAATGCTCGCCTCTGCCAGGCACGTCCAGTTACTGTAAATTTCATGCACAGCTTGTATGCAATAATAACAGGAACGCATTTATGTTTAATTGCACTACTGAGTTCATACTTTCTCACAGATCTGCTGGTAAAGAAGTAGAGTTCGATGGGGAGATGTATAAAATTGAGGAGTTGAAAGAAGATTCTTTCGATGATATCGACATTGCACTGTTTTCTGCTGGTGGCTCAATCTCCAAAAAATTTGGTCCTATAGCTGCCAAGAAAGGATGTTTTGTCGTTGATAACTCTTCTGCTTTTCGCCTTACAGAAGGTGTGCCACTTATCATTCCTGAAGTCAATGCACTTTCAATGGCAGAGTACAAACTCGGCAAAATGCACGGCGGCATCATCTCGAATCCGAATTGCTCCACTATCATTGCACTCGTTGCAGTGACTCCTATTCATCGAGCCGTTGGAATCAAAAGAATGGTTGCCTCCACTTATCAAGCTGCCTCTGGAGCTGGTGCGCTTGCGATGGCTGAATTGGAACAGCAGACTCGTGATGTACTCAACGGTGATCCTGTCACTATGAAAATATTCAATTTGCAGTACGCCTTTAATCTTTTCTCGCACAATGCACCGATGACAGATAACGGATATAACGAAGAAGAAATGAAAATGGTGAACGAGACGAAAAAGATCTGGTCAACAGAAGATGTTGACATCGCTGCAACTTGCATTCGCGTTCCGGTTATGCGTGCACATGCAGAAAGTATCAATCTCACACTATGTTCAGATTTAGATGAAAAAGATGCAAAGGAAATTCTCAGATCATCAGCAGGAATTAAAATTATTGATGACAGAGCGAATAATTGTTTTCCAACACCACTCGATGCTTCAAATAGGGATGAAATCTACGTGGGCCGCATACGCCAAGACATTTCACAGCCTGGCAGGACGGGACTTGAGCTGTTTGTCTGTGGTGATCAAATCAAGAAAGGGGCTGCGCTAAATGCTGTGCAAATTGCAGAACTACTCTTATAATATACTCTATTTCCAAGTTGGCTTGTTCAATGTTGCTCAGTACAACATTCTTGACGCCTGTACACGCAATAACGTATCTGTATACAATTTCAAATTAGCCACGGTTAATTAAGTCTTCATAGACCGTTCCATACGCAACACGTGTGATAAAGCAAAATGCACGAGCCCAGGATGCAATGAACTCTACCAAAAAGTCGTGCAAAAAGTTACACTAGGGCTACACTGTACACGTATTCATACAAAAATTCAGAAAAAGTGATAGACTACGTTCTGGAGTACTTGTACACGCAGAACACTAGTACAACGTTTTAGGACCCTACGAAGGTACTCTATTAAACTGTACACCCGAAACAAGCGTGGACGGACGCGATGAATTTCGGAAAGAGCGCGCCGCTGGAGAAAAGCATGCATCAGAGACGAATGATTTGCTTTAAAGTCACCGTCGAAACATGTCAACATTTTTTATCTAAAAGTCCTATGCAGTGAAAGTACTATCATTCAACTACGAAGGTAGCTCGTACCTTGAGCTAAGACAGCGTATCCTGACCCAAACATGTGCATATACAATATGCCTATGAAAACACCAAGTACAGCACCTGCGAGGACCTGCAGAGGCGAGTGGCCAAGAACCTCTTTCAACTTCCGATCACTGATGGGTTGCCCATGAAACATATCATCGAGAATTTTATTCAGCACCTCGGCCTGCTTGCCTGCATGGCGACGGACACCGGCTGCATCATACATGACAATAAGACTGAAAGCCAGACTGAGAGGAAACAAAGCTGATCCTAGTCCATACTGGTATGCGATGGCAGTTGTTAAACCAACAACGAGAGCTGTATGTGAGGATGGCATTCCTCCCGAGTCAAACATGACGCGCCAGTCCCAAGCGTTCTCTCTGTAAAATGCGGTGAAATACTTCATCAATTGTGCAGTTAACCACGACCAAAACGCACACATGAAGATTAAGTTTCCACTAAGATCAGTCAAAGCAGAACCAACTGCGCCGACTGATATCACTGAATATAAGAGATCATTCTTGATGATCTCGCGAATTTTGTTCTCCTGACCACAGTGAACATTTAATATGTTTACGAAGCTAGACATCAACTTACCAGCGTGTATGAAATTCAGGACTGTTTGCTGTGTCACGATCAAAATATGTCTCGTGAAGAAAGAAGGTAGTGGTATGGCGAAGTTTGGGCCTCGATGTAAATGTCCACATTGAGAGCCACTGTTGTGCTCACATGAACAGTCGTTGACATAGTTAAAATTTTCGCGCATTTTCGAAGTATCAGGCAAGAAAGAGAGGGATTTTTGTTCGAAAGTGTGAACCATACTTCCAAAAAGTGACTTTCTTGCGGTCCGGCCGGGTTTCTGTTTCATCATACCGTCGTGATACGAGAGAGCAAAGTTCCCCCGTGCCCCGGACACTCGCACATCTCGCCGAAAGAGCGGTCTAGATGATCCAAAAGAAAGGGATGTAGTGACATACATTCGTGAAAAAAGAACCCGTTTGCAGTACTTTCCCTCGCCGCTCTACACGATATCCACGATTTTCTCAAGATAGAGGCATTCGTTCCCGGAAGTAATGTGATATTGTACTGTATGTTCACGAACTGTATGTATTTTACGTGTAGTACGTGTAGTAATACAGTATCTTCGAAGGTACGAAAGTATTTATGATAGCTAGCTAGATATTGTACTTGCGAAAGTACTTTCGTACGGTAGTACGAAAGTACTTTCGTACGAAAGTACGAAGTATCTATTTCCGGAAGTACTTTCGTACCTTCGAAGGTACTTTCTGAAAGTACCTTCGAAGGTACGAGCGTGATGTACACGTACTGTACAGGACAACATTGCTAACTTCGAAGGTAATAAATTCTACGAAAGTACCTTCGAAGGTAAGTTGTTACTTATCTTGCTACGTAGCTACTATGATAGCTAGTCTATCTATTTCCGAAGTATTGCGCTTTACGAAGGTATGTTGTACGAAGGTATGTTGTACGAAGGTACTGTACCGGAAGTACGGAAGAACACGCACGAGAGGATGAGCGCGCGGTGTGCTTTAACATCGCGCAGACGCCGTTTTTGGCTCTGTAACTGCACGGCATATTAGATGACATCACCCTCGAGGCGCATGGAACGACCGCGTTCGTGTCTGAATCGCACGAGCAAAGCATAGACTGGCGCGATCGTGTCGATTTGTAAAAGAGCATTTTTCTTCGCGGCTACAGCCTCGACCCGCGGAGTTCAACTGCCGACGCAAGCGATCGTGTTTTTTCTGCGCTGCGCGATATTTGAATAAGTGCGTATGTGTTCACGCGATATAATCACGAAGTTTTTTTACGTTCAGAACTGTTTCCATGAAGTTTCGACGTCGCGTACGCGAGCTCAGGAGACGGCAAATGTTTCGTAACGCCGAGTCTGTTTTGCAAACGACGGATCTGTGCGCCGTGACAGCCTGATTCAGCGCCCCAGGTGTATTAAACTCGCTGGAATGATCGCTTACGCTGTCTAGTCGATGTTCGCTTTGACGCTCCGGCCTCAACCGCGGCGCGCGCCTCTCTGACTGTCCTCGCGCGGCGCGGCAGTTAAGAGGGTGAGCTCATCAGTAGTTCATCCTCTTAAGACGTACTGTACGAAAGTACTACGCACTGACTATTTGCAGATACGCCATCCTCTTATATAGTCTCGTTCAGGGACGGAATTCCGTCCCTTTCCGGGCGAAAAACTGAGAATTTTCCCTATGGGCAATCAGTTGGAGTACGAGTAGTTTTCCGCTCCGTACTCATTTTTTGGTGATTTTCCGCCGATTTTCCGTCGAAAACGGCGGAAATTCGGCACTTGTGACCAATTGCCCATAGGGAAAATTCTCAGTTTTTTCGCCGGAAAGGGACGGAATTCCATCCCTGAACGGGACCTTGTATCTTAATATCCTCTCTAAGCTCATATCCTCTCGCTGATATCCACTACGAAGGTACGAAAGTACCTTCGAAGGTACGAAAGTACTTTCGAAAGTACGAAAGTACAACGTTGTACGTGTACTTTCAAGTACTTTCGAAAGTACTTTGTACGAAAGTACTTTCGAAAGTACTTTCGTACTTATTAAGTACTTTCGTACGAAAGTACGAAAGTACGAAAGTACTTTCGAAAGTACGTACAGTACCTTCGTACGAAGGTACTTTCGTACCTCCTTCGTAGCTACTACGTGTAGGCCCTAGTAGCTACACGTGCGTGTACACGTACGTGTACAGTACACGTACATTTGTTGTTGCTGGACGGGACATTTTCGAAACTTACCAGAGATTTTTCGGGAATACCTGACCATATGTACCGCGTAAACGACAGCGACATCGACAACCCTTAAATCGGAGGAAAAAGAATTAATGCCACTTTCTCAAGAAGAGATCAATGGTTGCAGAGAGGCTTTCAACAAGTTTGACAAAGATGGCAGTGGAACGGTATGTAGAGTACTTTCTTGTTTCCACGGCGATCTCACCCGTTCGTGAGTTGCGTTTTAAGTGTTTGACTAGTATTTGGCTAGTATTTGACAATGATCATCCTACCTCCAACAGATTGACGCATCAGAGCTCAAAGCAACTTTAAATGCTGTCGGGCAGAGCCCAAGTGACGAGGAGATATTCCAGATGATCTCACAGGTTGACGACGATAATAGTGGAGAAATAGAGTTCTCTGAATTCTTGAAAGTCATCGAGAACCAAAAAGTTTCCGCAGCTCAGGTAAGTGACGAAACTGACACTGTTGAGGCCTTTGTAGCACTAGGAGGAAACACAGACAAAAGTGGAGAAATATCCACTGAAAAGCTGCGAACAGTGGTGAAGGCGCGACCCTGAGCTCGTAAAAATTGTGGCGCACTACTCACATCCATCCATCCAGCCAGTACCCGATTCTTTTTGTTTCTTGTAGCAATCTAAAGTTAGGATATGAGGACCGCTCTTAAATAAATATTTCACGATCTTTTCAGGAATTTGGTCTTACCATAGACCTTGATAGGCTGATACGAGAGATTGACACTGATGGTTCGGGTAAAGTTGACTACGAGGAGTTCAAGGCAATGATGGCATGACCGAATCGGAATAGGCATATCTTAGCGTTAGTGTCATATCTTGCTATCTGAAGTAAAAGCACTTTATGGCCGTGACTTGAACCGAGGATCTGGTTAACAGCTTCCTCGTCAGCCAACTCGTGGAGACTTCTTGAGTGAAGTAGTTGTGTAGTTTTTTTCTCTATACTTCCTTTCCTCAGGTAGTCTCGTTTCGCCCCTGTAAGCAGGCGTTTTTTTTTTTTCGGACTGGAACATAAATCTTAGACCGTCGTTTTGAGTCACATTCTCCATTTCGTTGATCGGCTTCTTGTTGCTTTCAAAAGTTCACCGAGCCGCTTTCAAATTCTCATCGATCAATTTATCGATCATAGAAATTAACATCGGAAAATATGACGAAAAATGGCGGTAAAAGACTTTCATCCCGGTCTGAATAAAGCACCCGGCGCACCGGGACAAGACAAAACTTGTCAGGAAGTATTTTTTCAAGTCATCCATGTGCGTGCACCTAGTGCACAAACCTATTGTCGGAGTTTTTTTATCAAAAGTCACAGGGAATTATTATCACAACGCACTAAACTCATTTTGATATCCACTATTGAGAGTTGCACAGTTGCGCAGTCCTTCCTCTCAGGGGATTCTACACGTGTCGGTCTTTGCATATATAACAGAAAAACTATTAGTGATCTCATCAGTCGTTCCCACACAGAATTGCACTCCTTGTCACTTGTTCGCGGTGCCAGTCACATCCATGGCTGCACCTGCTGCTAAGCGCTCCTCCCTTCGCGCTATTTTTCTCTCGCGGGTTGCTTTGTTTTTAGTGCGACGTGCCTCAAACTGGTCTGCGATTGATTTCTCGCGGGCCTTCTCAGCTTTCGTCTTATGAATAGCTTCCATTAGCACGCGTTTATTCTTGAATACGTTTCCTTTGCATTTCAAGTACATTTCATGGTATGTGTGCTTGTCAATCTTCTTTGCCTCGCGGTACCTGAGAAGAGGGAGCAAAGCAATTCAAATAAATAAGTCAAGGTCTTAAAACAACGAAAACAGGCTTGAGGACACTGTGAAAAGAAAAAACGAAAAATCTTACTTCTTTAACAGACGGCGGAGGACTCGATGTCGGCGAAGCCAGAGAACCTTGGTTGGCAGACGTGCCTCACGAGTGCCCCGGCGCTTTCCTGCAAAAACAGTTCAGTCTCACTCCATAAAGAGATTCTAATCCGCATGAAGAATCCATGTGCCTTGCTTGGGATTTCTCAGAACATACCATAACCAGTGTGACGTCCGAGTCTTTTCGCAGCAAGGCCCCGAAGTGTGCGAGCACGGGAGTGGATCTGGGTGAATAACATTAGAGGTGAATCAGGGAAAAAGTTTGAGATGGTCCTGATAGCGCAATTCAAAGGTCAGAGTTGCGCACCTTTTCAGGCTTTCTGATAAGAAATCCATCTTTGACAAGCTTGCGGATGTTTTGACGAGAGTTCGCCATCGATATCTCGCTTATCTGGAATGAAAGAAACAGAAATCAAAACCCTAAGTTTTAAATTCCGGAAGACAAGGAGCAGCGTCTTGAAAAGTGGCACATGTCCCATTTTGTGACGTGTCCCTCGGGGAATGTGTATTCAAAGATGATCGATGCGGGATTACTAGCAAACTACTACGGGACTTCTATTACCTCGTTAGGATCCATCCAGATCTTTCGAGTCCCGCATTTAAGGACGGAGGCTGCTAGTCGTTTTTGCAGCTTTAATGAGACCATTTTTCAAATAGTATCGAGCAAGTTAAGGGGGTCTCGAAAATATTTCAGATGCGCGTTCGTCAGGGAGATGCGTTTAAGCGCGTGAATGCTCGTGGCACTATCTGAACAAATGTTCGGGGACAAAACAGAACAATTGCAGCTTCGAAGGACAGTACAGAGCTACAGAATGTACACGTACGGAAGTGCTTCCGAAGGTAACGATACGGTTGTACAGCTGTACGTGTACACGTATGTACCTGTAGTTGTACCTTCGAAGGTACCTTGTAAGAAACTTCCGTATGAAGATATCATAATATTTTATTTTTATCCTATGTTATTGTACACGTACGTGTACACCAGGTGATACTTACTAAAATTTCGACACTGAGTAAATACTGTAGTTTACTGTACATGTACAGTACGTGAACACGTACATGACTGCCGGCAAAAAAAGTAAATAAATAAGTACTTTCGTACCTTCGAAGGTATTTCAAAGTACTGCAGTTTTAACTCACAATCGACGGTCTAATTTCGCTCGACCCGCAAAAGTCTTCCTTCGAAAAACTAAGTAAACTATTTAAGTTGTTACACGTACACGTACAACTACAACGTTGTACAACTACTGAATAACAACTTATGATACTTTTAAAAGTTATTAACCCCCGGTGTACGTGTACAACGTTGTACCTTCGTACACTACAACTACTGTTCAATAAAGTACGAAAGTACTTTCGTACTTTCGTATCAATTATACTGTACTTTCGTACAATGCTACATAGTACATACTGTATCATATCATAGCTACATACAGTACGGAGCTACGGACACAGTACAACGTTGTACACGACTACACGTAGGGCTATCTAGCTAGTAGCTACAGTAGCCCAACCTAGCTAGCTAGCTAGTAGACTCTAGACTCTATTAATAAGCAAGCTTCCGGAAGTACCTTCGTACCTATTTTCGTACTACCTATCTAGCTAGGGTTACGTGAGTGTTTATGTGTACTACATGGTGCATGGCTACATGCTGTATAGAGTACTTTCGTACTTCCGTACTATGGAAGTACTTCCGGAAGTACAATGCTAAGTACGAAAGTACGAAAGTACATAGCTACATACAGTAGATTATTCGTACGGAAGTACGAAAGTACTTCGGGAAGTACGAAGGTGGACTCTCTATCAGTCTATCTGTGTGGCCTACATCCGAAGTATAAACGCGTGTACGTGTAGTTGTAGCCCTATCAGTTCGTATGAAGCTAGGCTATGTACCGGTATGTACTATGTAGTATGTACTTTCGTACTACCTTCGTATGTACTTTCGTACGAAAGTACTTTGTAGTTTGTACTTTCGTACGAAGGTAGCTAGCATTGTACTTTAAAGTACATTCGTAGATAATAGCATAATATCATACCTTCATAGACATTATTGTACGCGTACCAGATTGAACCTTCGTGGCACTGTCTTAGTTGTAGTCTACCTTCGTACGTACAATGACGTTTATCCGGAAGTACTGTTGTAGCAGTGTTGTATCTTATAGCAGTAGTCTTTTACAGTAGTCAGCTAGTCATACATACACGCTCACGTGCGTGTACAACTCGTGTACATAGATAGATAAGTTGTTTTTTACGAGGGCTAGCTAGCTAGGAAAGGCTACTGTATACAGTAAGTTGTTCAACTTATCAAAAGTTTTATCTGCATCGAATACAACATTTGTATCTATCTAGCTAGATATCTACGTTCACTACTCGAGAACCCTGTACGTAGTATCGTATCTACGTCTGCAGCCAACAGTGACCCACTCGCATAGTTTGTTTCATCTAGTGATAGACATACCCGTCTACGGCGAAGATAGCTGGACTAGCGAGCTAGCCTAGCTACTAGATAGATAGCTGAGTTTTAGAGCAGTTTTAGTGTATCTAATACTAAGTTGTTATCTAGCTATGCCCATTGCATATTTTTGTACTTTCGAAAGTACTTTCGTACGAAGGTATTTAATAAGTTATTAGGGATAGTGTATCTTCGTTCGTGCGAAGGTAAACTTATGACTACACGAGTACTAAGGTTAACGCGTTAGCCCTTGTTTGCTTGCGAGCTACGTGAACAATGTTGTAGAGAGTAGAGAGCGTTGTAGGACTACTGTAGGGCCACGTGTACTGTAGGCGGAAGTCTTCCGGAAATATTTATGATGGCCCTACTTTTATACGTGCGTGTGGAGATATCTTCGTACGAAGGTATCTATCTTCATACAATATGACATCGATCGAACGAAGGTACAGTAGAGAATATCCGATATTATCGGAACATGAGAAGAACATTTACGTGCACAGTACGTGTACAGCTGTACACGTACTGTACTGCAGGGCTATAAATCGTATCCGACATATGGAAGACTTTCGACTTTTCCGTACTTCGACGAGAGGGAGACGAACGGCAAACGATGTGCCGCGCTTCTTCTCGTAAATTCTCCAACCACACCTGTTAATCGTTCATCTTCGCTTTGCTCATCGCTCATTTGGTCACCATATACGAATTCACGAAGGAAGGAAGGGTGTCCAGCCCACAACCACAGCTCTTCCCCCTCGTAACACCGCGAAATAAGCAGTCAAGCGTATGTCTTCGGTTTCCGCCGTTACGATAAAATCTCCATGCACTCTGCGCTCATTGTATTCGTCACCAGGCGACGTTAGATTTGAGCTTTCTCAGACAAGTCCCCAGTTACTTTCAACTAAACAGATCAGTTTCTGTGAGCCCGAACGATCGAGCGGGATAAGACCGCACGTACACAAGCGGAAGACTTCCGATGTTAAGCTGACCAAGTCACATATGATTTCAAGATTTACTACGAACGTAAACCTATGCACCTCACTGCGCATGAACCTAGATCGCGTGTGCGCGATCGGAAGATCATCAAACGCGAACGGCAGTAGGGTCGCGGAGTATCGTAAGAGCCCAACTCACTGCACCGGAACAGCGTTGGTCATCAGAGAAGAGGAACCTAAGTTCAGAACACCTAACTGTTCCTGCTCTGCCGCAGCCATCTGCTCTTCCCGGTGCAATTGTACGATGAGAGGTACGACGAGAAGGAGGAAGGACGTGCCGAAGACCCACGCAGCCTTGCCCGTGTGCCAGATCAGTTTCTTACCGACACGTGCGCTGTCGCCCAAGGAGGACATTTGAGAGTTGCAGGTCGCGTCCGGAGCGGGAGTTATTTCCATGCGCTTTGTACACGCAAAATATGAAGAATGAGTAGAAGGACGATCACTGAAGTTTGAACTTTTAGTGAAGTCACGATCGTGACGGCGTCGCGAACCGGGTAGCCCTATGCGTCGAGTAAAACAACGCAGGGACTGGAAGGCTTTCCTCTTTTCGAATTCCGTACGTGTACGTGTACAACGGTACGTGCACTGTAGGTGAGTTGTAGGTGAAGGTGCAGTGTACGAAAGTACGAAGGTACTTTCGTACGAAGGTATCATACTTTCGTACCTACCTTCGAAGGTACCTTCTATACGTACTATACTGTATGTGTGTATAAACGCGGTGTAGTCTTTAGCTATTTTATAATAGTCATTGTTTATAGAGATCATATAAGCAAGGAAGGTCCGTAAGAACGAAGCTACACTGTGCATGGCTACAGTAGAATACTTCCGGAAGTACCTTCGAACCTTTTACAAGATACGTACTGTAGGCTTATAAATAGTACGAAAGTACCTTCGTACGAAGGTACACGACTACAACGCGCACGTTTTATACAACGTGACAGTCGTGCACTTACTTCCGGAAGTACGTCGTTGTACAGCTAGCCCTAAATAATAATAAGCTATCTAGCTAGTATCTACGAAAGTACCTTCGAAGGTAGATAGCTATCTACCTTCGTAGCTAGCTAGCATATTCTAGCTACCTGTAGGTACACGTGTAGCTAGGGATAAATAAATTCGGAAGTACTGTACACGTGTAGTGTACAGCTGTAGCCCTACACTGTACGAAGGTACAACTGTACAGTACCTGTACGAAGGTTCGGATACCTTCGAAGGTATGTAACTATGTACCTTCGAAGGTACCGAAGGTAGCTAGCTAGATAGACTACAGTATTGTACTTCCGGAAGTATAAACTTATCTTCATTCGAAGAATGCAATCAATTAGCCCTAGTTGTACTATTGCCCTAGCACTGCCCTAGCTAGCTGCTAGCCCTAGCTACGTGTAGGGTACATAAGTGATAGAATACCTTCGTACCTTCGTACATAGCTACATACGGAAGTACGGAAGTACGTGTACCTTCGAAGGTACCGAAAGTACTTCCGGAAGTACTGTACTGTAGATACAGTAGTCTACAGACAACGTCGCGTTTATACGTTAACTTCGTTCGTAGCTACCTTCGATGGTATCGCGCGTGCATAGCTCGGTCACTTGTCACATTTTGATCTTTACTGCTCAGACGTCTGTTTCAACTTCAGTTCAACAGGATTTACGTCGAGCGAGTCCTGCCGTTCCTTCATGCTGAAGTATAAAAATCGTTTATCTTTTCCTTGAGCTAGTTGCGCATTTTGTTCAGAAATGGATAATGCTAGAGGAGACGTGCCGCGTGAGTGGTATAGAGATGAAGGGCACGTTGGATATGACGTCGACGGTCGCAAAATAGTCAAACAAAAATGGGACGACTCGATAGAGCACTTGATTCGTTTAACTGACGATTTAAGCTACTGGAGGAACGTTTTCGATGAGAAAGGGGGAAAAGAGCTTGTTGTTTCTAAATCGCAGGAAAGTGTGCTAGCGCATTTTTTCATGAATTGTTTGAATATGTACTGTTTATTGAGAGGAAGTTGCCTGTGATTGCAGCTTGAACTTTTCCGTAGACTCCGCACGAGCATCATACCGGTGATGGATATTCACAGCGACGAGGTACAGCCCCCAATCACGAACAAAAATAATATAAAGGTTAAACAGTTTGCCTATATATTCCGGTTGTCTCTGGTGTTTCTCAGGTTCGCCTGGAAATCGGATCAAGTGATCACTTTCAAACCATTCAAGTGCCCAAACGGCGTTTCATTCCATCGAAATGGTGTGTTCTTATGTCTTAGTTCATGGCCTCGCAAATGATAAGGTTATTATACTTCAGGGAAGCTAAGCTTGTTCTTCGAATCATGCGCGGTCTTCGCCGAAAAGCTTCCATACAACTTTTAGAAAATGTATGCAACTTTATTTTCCTTTTTTTTTATTTTGATACACATGAAACGTTTTATCTTGTACATATGCATCACACAGTCTCCTGCTGATAACCAAAAATTAATATGGATTGAGGAGCAGAATCGGACAAGTGAAAGAAATGACGGTGAGTTGCAATTACTTATCTAACTTGTTTATTTTCTTTTCGAACCGGACATGTTTCCTGACTTTTGATGTTATGCCGAATGGTGATTTACTTGGCAGGGAGAGCATGTTTGCCTGCACCGAAAGTGAAATTACCAACAAACATAGACTCCTACAATCCCCCACCCGAATATGATTGTGCTGAGGTTGTGAAGAGCATAGGTCACTCGGTTGTGCAAAAGATTGATTTGGGTTCTCAAGTTGCATTGCGGGCGGTGGGCTTAGTTCTTTTACAGTTTCAATAGTCTGTCGCAGCGCAAGTTGTAAAACGTTTTCTTTGTTCGATCAGGTTCCTTCATATTCTGATTTTGTTACTGAACGGTATGCTCTATTCTAAGTTCTTGTCTTCAGCACTGCACAAGTTTATGCGCACCTCACCAGTACGCACCTGTGCCGTAGGTTTCAAAGATGTCTGGACTTATATCTATGCCCACGGGTATTGCGGACCCGTCTAAACTTTCAACAGAGTGATATTCTACCCTCTTTACCGACCACGAAGGTGCAATATATACACTTGAATCTGGGTCGTAGATTGCACATTGAACACGGTAGTATAGGAGCTGAAACCATTTCCAAGTCTCCAAAGTTTGACTTTTTTCGGACATTCAGTAAGGATTCTAGTATAATGTTATGTGCACTCGATTTGGTCTTTGGTATCAGGCTTCCGCCTACTTGATATTCTGATTTTTTCTTGAACTCTATATCTTGGACAAAGTCCTCTCGGTTGCTGTACATATTTCTGGGTTAGTGCTTGGTCCTATTATCTTGATTCAATGCCTTCTCAATTTATCTAATGATTACAGGCAATGGTTGATATCTGGATCAGCTGACAGCATTTTACGGATGTGGGAGGTACCGCTGATACACGAATACTAGAACCCCGAGCGCAGGGTGAACCATTTTTTTTCAGGTTTCTACAGGTAGGTGCATCAGATCGTGGCAGTTAGCTGAGTCTGCATCTTGTGTGGCGTGGTAGGGATCGTTTTTGTGATATTTTTGAAGCACGAGGACTATATAAAAATACTTTTAGGTCTTCCCATGATGGAAAGAACATCGTTTCTGTCTGCGTTGGATGCTCTTTGGTTTTGCTGAACACCCAAAAAGGTACCTCCATTTCAGTACATGAAAAGCAGCAAATGTTCCTAACTTGTTGGATTATGACAGAATGTAGCAGAGACAATATGATACTCAATGTATTTACATTCTACTTCATATACTTTAAAAGTTATTATTTTTTTGTCTTCCCAGGAACGTGTTAGTAATGATATGCCTTCCTGGGAAGAACGGTTTGTCAGAAGAAAGTTGTGCAGTCCACAAAAGGTTATATTTTTTATCGACAGAAAAAATGATATTGTATTTGTTCATCATATCGCACCAGTGGAGAGGGTGCGTGCACTGGATTTATTTATATATTTATTTCAAACATCTTTAACCTACTTTTTTTCCGGATAGGTATCATGGCATCATAAAGGGTATAAAAGAAAGGCACTCGCTTTACACATAATTAACTGATTAAATGTTCCGACAACAGCGACTATTTTGCAACTTTGGTTCCGAAGGGAAACAATATCTTGGTGCACAGTTTATCGAGGTCAGGCTCCGCTACTATATATACTTTATAACCTGAATTTATTTCTTGTCAACGCAGGAGGACGACTCGGCCTGTTTTCCAGCAGCAAAAGTGTGCCAAGAATTATTCTTCAATACTGCACTCTAGTTTATATTCAAACTGAACTAGCTCTCTCTTAATGCAGTGTGCCCATACAGAGAGCTGTCTTCCACGTGTCACGACCTTGGTTGATCGTCAGTACTCGTTCAAAAGTGTACCTTTACGACTTACACCGACAGTTTCTTGTGAAAAAGATGTCCAGTGGCAGCTCAATTAGCTGCATCGCTACACACTTCGGTGGCAAGTAATAGTAGTAAGAAATGTACTATTGTATGGTGACACTTTTTCGGCAGGTGATAACATAATAGTCGGTTGTAGTAATGGGAGGCTTGCTTGGTAAGTGTTCTACTCGAGGGACTAAACGCAGGTTCTCTGTTTGACGGTTTTTCTTGCAGGTTTGATATGGACTTCTCTGATACACCATACCGAGTTCTTGCTTCACATCATAGTACGGTCAAGGTGACATTTATTTACACTACACTTTGTAACTTGTATTTTCTTTCTACAAACTTATTTCTTCCGCGGTTGGTTTCCAGAGCGTCGCCTTTCATAGAAGATATCCGCTCTTTGCCTCAGTTTCTGATGATACTACGGCTCAAATATTTTACGGACTTGTATATTCTGAAATCGAAAAAAATGCATTAATTGTCCCAGTAAAAGTTCTTAGATCTCACGCTCTGAAGGATTGTGAGGGAATTTTGGACTGTGACTTTCACCCTGCACAACCATGGCTGTTTACTGCCGGAGCAGACTGCACTATCGTGTGTTTCTGTGATGGCGTGTGAAAATGGTTTGTATCTCGGCTTTCTATTCTTTTTAGAATGTATCTTCGAGGCTACAGTAAGTTCGTTTCTTACCATGATTTCACGTTGACTTCGTGCACCATCTCTTTATGGTGTATGGATAGCTTGTTAATTCATGTAGAAATGAACTGCAGTACGATTTACGAGATGTAGACTGAAAGTGCATATATCATGAATATGAACAACAGGGAATCGTCAAAATGTTCTTCAGGGACTAGCTAGATAAACTAGCTCTGCACAGGTGGCACCGCAAGGCTGCTTATACTGTATATCTGTCCTTTGCTCGGCGCTCCAATCGGATAGCATCATCGTGCACCATGTAACCAATCTTCTCGGTTTCAGGCATACCGAGAATTGTCTTGAAGTGCCGTCCGATGGCCATTTGATCAGCTTCGTTCGAAGCTGTCTTCGTCCACAGAGCAATTCTGTGCTGCTTCTGCCGCACGCTTACAACTGCTCCACAGATTTCACTTGGCTCGCAGAACTGCTCGCCGATGGTAGCTAGCAGCAAATTCAGCCAGCAGTCGTCGAGCATGGAGGGTTCTTTGCTCTTTGGAAATAAAAAAGTCCACTTACCCCCCTTCGCACACTTACTGTCTTCCCACTTCGGCTCAATTCCTTCTTTGAAGAGGTGAAAATCGGTACCCATAATTAAACGGCTTGGAGCCAGAATGTTATTGTACAGACACCAAAAGTCTTCAACAGTATTGAACGTGTATACGCTACGGAGAGTTTGACCCCAAGTTGCCTGTTTCTGCCTCCTGCGTGAATACGGTGAGATGTCCATGAGCTAAGAGATGCACCAGGGACCAAATAACACGCAAACTTACCCGTTCGGATTATCGAACCAAAGGGTCCAAGTATGCTCGAGCGGGTGCTTATTGATGAAGTCAGGGTCGGGAGAAGTATCTGGGTCAGTCATTGCGACAAAGTCTTTAATAGCGCGGACGTTGCGCGGGGGTATGTTGTGCGTTGATAGTGGTCTGAGGCTCGGCGGCTGAACTACGTAGTCTAGCTATCGGATATCTTCGAAGGTATTTATACTTTCGAAAGTAGTACGAAAGTACGAAAGTACGAAAGTACTTTCGTACGTACGAAAGTACTTCCGGAAGTAGCCCTACCTGCCTAGCTACCTAGCTAGCTAGACTACTTTTACATATTAGACTACGTTCAAATCTATCTTCGTACTACTTAATATGATAGACTATCTCAGATAGCTAAAAAGATAGTGTTATTGTACGTGTACTGTACACGTACACGTAGTCATCGTAGAAAAAGAGCCGATCATTAACCGGGTGACCACCTTCTGGTCTGCGTAGAGTACAACGCTGTACTGAGCTACTGACGTCTCTTCAGCAAGTACAACCCGTTCTGCTGGCTCGTCGTTTCTTATTTATGTGCTGCTTCGACTCGACACCTCGATTCCGTATTTTCTTCGTCGTGCTCGAAGGACGATCGTGTACGGATGGGTGTTCTTCGTAATTCGCCCAGTACTTGGGCAAACTACTGTAAATCCAAGACTTACCAGCGCAGTGCCTTGAACCACCGATAACTGATGTACTCCCTGCTGCAGCAGGCACAAAATAGCCCCCGCATATCTGCCCTTAAAATAGGTCTGCGTGTTCTTGGTGGGTCCTGTGCCTTTCGCGCTTTTCTGCTTGCTATCGCCGATTTGTCGAGCATTGCCTGCGAAAACTTCTTCCACCGAAGCGAAGTCAGTGTGACCGCTGCGAAGCGTCGCATCATCGATTTGCTAGCTGCGATCACATCAAATTTGCACATCTCTATGGAAAGACTGCATTTAGGAGACTGGAGGGATGTTGATCCCGAGTGGAGAGAACTGCACATGTTCTCTTCCCTGCTTTTCGTATCAGTAGAATCGAAAATGAAATACAATATTTCACCATTCATAGCACAAGCAGCAGGAGTTCTTTTGCCACATGTGAGAAGAAAAATCGTTTCAAAGTCCTTAGATGTTGCTGGTTTACTGGGCAGTAATCATGATCATGATAATTTGAATGAAAATATCGATTCTTTTATCTCTGACCTTCGCCAAGGTGAAATACACTCACGTGGACACGAACCTTTTCAGAAAGTGTTTTTCTACGGCACTTCCTGTCGGCTATCTTCTTCTTGCACTGCAGATGTGAAAAACAGAGAATGCTTAGTTTCATTGCACAGTTCTAAGCGTACATGGTATATTGGGGAGGATAAATTTGGCAGTCTCCAATCTTTGCTTCCTCCGGGCTCGCTTTCGAACACTACAAACTTGCTTTGTGGTCAGGTGCACCACCTATGCAGAAACCCTTCTCTTCTTGATTTTTTTCGCTCGTACATGCCCAAGTGCACTGAAAATGCCGGAGCTCCAGTTTTAATCTCTGGAGCTGTGTCTCACTGGCCAGCGCTATGTCGCTGGCGAAACTCTGATTATCTCACAGCTATGGCAGGTTTGCGAACAGTGCCTGTTGAGTTGGGAATGCACTATCTTCATGCGAATTGGACACAGAAGCTCATGTCACTGTCGTCTTATTTAGATAGGTACATCCGACCTTTGCAACCACAAGATGCTGTAAAAAGCAATACATTTGACAGTATTGTTGTGAATGGCTCACAACCTAAGCTTAGATTCCCACATGTGCATCAGGACAAGTCCTTAAAATACAGTTACAGCGCGATCCGCCCAGGCAGTTGCACAGGGTATCTTGCACAGCACCCTCTTTTTAATCAAGTCCCAACACTTCTGAATGATTTAGATCTTCCTGACTACTGCTCCTTAACGCATCGGTGGAATACATCTGAAGAAGGTATCAAATCAATCAATGCGTGGCTTGGACCTGCAGGTACTGTGAGTCCACTTCACAAGGATCCATACCATAATTTGCTTTCTCAGGTTGTTGGGCTAAAATACATCCGAATGTATGCTCCTGAAAGAGCACAAACTCTGTATCTTCACCCGGACTACAAGCTACGAAACTCCAGCTTTGTTGACATGCAATCAGGAGCAGCTAATCTGACAGTGAAGTTTCCTAGTTTTGTTTCAACACCTTTTGTCGACTGTGTATTGGAACCTGGTGACATGATATATATTCCAGCTAATTGGTATCACTCTGTACACTCTCTGTCAAGTTCGTTCTCAGTATCGATCTGGTGGCACTGACTAGAACAGTGCGAAATGCCTCGTTTCGACTTGATGATGTTCCATTTGTACTCTGTTGGATTCAGTATACAGTAGCACTTTCGAAGAGAGTCTGCGGTCAAAAAGTGTTGAACCATAATTTTCACCGATCAAAGAAATTGAGCCTAGGGCCCAGGCTTCAAATGTTGAAATTTTCAGGGATAAGTGGTTGTCTCTGGTACAGGATTTTGGTCACGGTCTGGACAGTGTCTGGACTAAAGTACCTTCGTACACAGCTACACAGTTTATTACACGTGTAGTTGTACAGTACGTGTACAGTATCTAACTATCTACCTTCGTACGAAGGTATCTTCGAAGATACTAAGAATACTTTCGTACGAAGACAACTTACTTTCGTACGAAGATAAAAGTACACGTACGTGTGTACGTGTACACGTACACGTACAACGTTCAATCAACTATCTTCGGTATTCCATCTTCATAGCACTCTACACGTACTGTACGTGTACAGTACACGTACATACTACAACGCGTTTATTGTACGAAGGTATGATAGACTACTTACTGTACAGTATCTTTGATAGTCTCGTTCAGGGACGGAATTCCGTCCCTTACCGGTGCCTGAACGGGACCTATCTGAGACTACAACCCGCGGACTTCGCTCATCGCGCGTCCCCACGCGCTTCCGACTTCCGAC